TTCCGCCTCAAACTCGGCAAGGCGATCAACTACGAGTACAACGAAGATTCGCAGACGGGACTGTTCCAGCGGCGAGATCCACGAGAAGGTATGATCTGCTTGAGCTGGATCAGATATGGTAGACTCAACATCTGAAATGCAGGTGGTCCTGCGCTTGACATTGAGCGGGGTGGGGATGTTCCCAGCTTTTCGAAGCATTGCTGACCACTACTGGGCAGCTCTGAACAAATTGGAGAAGGTTGCTCTCAGAGTTGCGCATGCTCGCGGGAAGCCTCTGGTGCTCATCGTCAACAACGTCCACTTCTTTAAGAATGACGACGACGGGCGGGCGATGTTGCTCCAATTGCAGCAGCGTGCAGAATCATGGGCTGCGAGCGGTGAGCCACTTGGTCTCGATGGTGAATGCAACTTATGATGCTCCAGGCGTGCTGACCTGTGTGTTCATGACGTACGTTCCGTCCTGAACTTGCACATACCGGGTTTCACAATGGTTTTTTCAGTGACGATTATTGGCCATTCTATGTCATGCGCAAAACGGCGTCGCGGATGCACGTAGTCACGATCGGCGACCTCGACGAGCAGCATTCCATTCAAGCTGCGACCAACATGTATCAAACCCTCAGGAAGCGACAGCCTTCGTCAGCGGTGGTTGAAGAAGCTGTCAGCGTTGTTGGCGGTCGGCTTTCCTATCTTAACAAAGTGCGTTTTCAACCCATACACCTGAACTCTTTTCTGACATGTAGCGATCAGGTTGCACGGTCAAAGGATATGGTCGAGGCTGCACAGAACCTGCTGCAAATTGAAAAAGCCTGGCTGCGGAGCCAGATCGGTGTGCTACAAGCTTTGCAAAGTTACATCGCACTTACACCCTGCAAGGTCTCATCCCCGACTGCGACGACGACGTGATGGACGAGGTCAGCAGCTTGCCGTGGTAACTTCAGCTTTCTAGTGCTCAATGTCGAACAGCAAAAATGGAGCAGTTGCTCTTGGCTGCTGCTTCGCGAATTTGTCAAGCTGCGCAAGGAGCAAGAGGCTGCCAGAGACGAAGCGATCGCAGCAGGCGATCACGACCCCGCAGACCTCCACCTTCCCTTGCCCACCATTCCTTATGTGAGTGGTGTAAGATGGCCGTTGAAGTCTCGTCGACTGAGCCTTTCACCAGTATAAATGCCGCGAGATCATGACTCGAGCTGATTTCATGGAAGGTCTGCCTTGTTTACTTGCCTACTTCTTTTTCTAAAGCGCTTCAAAGACCTGGATCGCGCTAACATCATCTCAGTGGATGTAGGTCTTGCTTGTCATTTTACCATTCCCGTCAATTGAAGTCCTGTCTCAGATACACCACGACGTGCGGCCAGACTCAATGTTGATTCTGCACGCGGCGCGACAGGTGTGTGAAGAGGACGGTTTCGATGAGTTGCTGGACAACGTGAGAGACCGGATTGACGAAATCGAGAGTTTGCACCGTACCCGCGAATTGACGGTCAGTCGATGTTGTGTTTGTTCCCGGTTTCTCTGTTGACGATGTGTTCGTTGTCCAGTTCAAAGACGCGAGCAGAATCAATCTTTCCGTGGACAAGACTGACACTCGAATCGTGGACGAGTAGTCCATAAACGACAACCAATCACAGCAAAATGGGAGGTGGACAGGATCCTCACGTAGAGGACCTGCGATGCATTGACCTCCTTGTCGAGCTGCATCATTGGCAGTCGACCATTATCTACTGGTAAATACAGGACAACACGAAAAGTACAATTATGTGGAAATGGGGACAGCGTCTTTTTTGGCGGTGGCTTGCGCCTCCTGCGCGGCTTTCATCTCGTTCTGCGCCTGGATCTTCTTCTCCTCGATCTCTTTGACCTGCTGGTCCAGCTTCTGCTTGGTGCTCAGGCTTTGATTGAATGTCATGCTGCGGTGGTGACTCGCCGCCCCAATCGAGCCCGTCTCCGGTTGAGGCACGTTCACTAGCGGCGTCGTGGAGGAGAGCCCGCGGTGGAACGACGTCGGAAGCACCCGTCCTTCAGGGTGCTGGAAGTGGCAGTTGGCCCGTGTGCAGGCTGCACCGAAATGACATTGCTGTGCGAAATGTGCGTTGCTTTTCGCAGGATGCGTAAACGTGCAGTTGGGCCGCGTGCAACTTGCACCGAAACGGCACGGAACACCAGCAGCCGGGCTGCTGTGCGTCGGTACATTCGGTGTCGGCGGTTGAGCTGGCATCTCCGTGAGTTCAAGATGGATCTCAGCCGGCAGTCTAACACACCTTGTGGGTTCAGCACAGCAGGGCTGACATGTGCCTTGACACAGTCCTTGTCCTTGCAATCCTTCCCATTTTCGCAAGCATCATTACTGAGCACCACACCGCTTTCCTGTGTGGCCACTGGCGACGGATGCGAGTATCGGCACTGAGGATTGGTGCACTTCAACGAGAATTTGCACAGCGTCGGCGATTGCGGCCGTTCGGGTATGGCGTAAGCAACGGAGGGCGCAGCAGCGATTGCGGCGGCTGGTGTCGGAGTTGGCGCAACCAGGGGGACGGAAACCTCTTCAGTTACCGGGACAGCCATTTCATTCGCCCTTCCACCGGTAGATCCTCCCCGGCCCGATCCTCTACCTCGGCCTCGTCCATTTCCTCGGCCGCGACCATTCGGGTTTCCGCCATGTCCACCGTTGGCCTCGGGGAACATCGACATGTCTCCGGGCATGCCGCCGAATCCAGGGCCACCGAATTGGCCTGTTGCTGGATTGATGATACCCATGCTTGACGCCATTTGAGCCATAAGCGCCATTTGGTTCATCATCATCTCCTGCAGCATTAAAGGATTCGTCATTCCGTTCATCATGCTCATGTCCATGCCCATCGGGAAGCCCCCGTTCATCATCATTTGTTGCTGCTGCTCGGGGGTGTTCACAATGTTGTCAATCCTGGACTGCATCTCATCCTGCCCAAAGTTCCCATGGTTCCGGCCACCACTCGGACCACCCACTCTGTCCAACAGACTGCGCGGATTCGCGTTGCCATGTCCCTCCCGTTGCATCGCGCGTGGCCCCGTGGGCAGGTCTGTCCGTCGCGATTTGTTGGATTGAGATGGTGAGGGCGAACGGGCGGATGCGGATCGTTTTTGGGCGGAGGGGGACGTGGATGGAATTTGGGAAATGGCTTGTTGATACACTCCATTGCGGGACTGACGACGGTCGGTTGCAGCAGCAGAGACGGCACTAGCGGCAGCAGCAGCGGGCTGAGAACTGGAGGGTTCGGCTGGTGCTGGCGCGGATGGTGCTGGCTCGTTTTCGCCCTTGGCTGCCTCGGAAAAGAGCCAGTCGGTAAAATTGGGGTCTAAACTGGGTTAATCCCATATCCGCGGTGGATAGGCAGGAGCATACCGAAGTCGGATCCAATTACTGCAGAAGCATCGTTCGGTGAGATAGACACACTTTGAAGTTCGGAAGAAACTCACAATCTTCCAACTCGCTCGTTATTTGAGCTGCAAATAGAGTCAGGCGAGCGCGACGAGAACTGATATGGACTGTGCTGACCAGAAGTCTTGTTGTTGATTATCATTATGGTAATATACTCCGCCATGACCGGGTCTGAGCGTATTGTCGTCAGTAGGTGCGAGCCTTTGAGGTCAAATAAGCTGACCGGGTTCTGGACTGTAGTTTCTCCTTGTGAGCTCATTCTGGATGGAGAGCTGCGTAAAATTCGGTCAGGTAGCGATATAAACCTGAGAACAAACCGCATACTTGGAGCGCGTTAGCGCGGTCAGTCCCGATTGCGAGTCCGAAAGGCATTATTGCTGGCGTCGGGTCACAGTTGGAGGAAGAGTTGTTGTGTCACGTGTTCGGTGTTTGTCCTCGAGTCCTCGCTTCAGACTGACTCTGCTGACTGGTCTGGAGTGACTCCAACATATCGGAGTAGCTGCTTGAATGCTCTCGAAAATCAAAGACCAGGACTCTCCTGCGATACAGCTCCTCCGAGCAACGCTCGAATCGATATGAAATGTCTCGCACGCTGTTGTGTCGTCAACTGCTGTATCTTTGACGATCACTGCGAGGCTCGAGCGCCAATATGGGGGTTCGAGTTTCTCACTTCAGGGGTGAGCCGTGGCAGACCGTGCACACCTCGACCTTTATGGCAGTATCTTTGAGGGCACGAAGACTACTTGGCTGCGGATCGCTGTGTTTGGATGCCTGAAGGGGAGTTGTGCCGTATGCCTTCGCCTTGGGGAAAAGTTAGCTTTGCCACGCAGAATTCAAGTATACAGCATCCCATGGGAAGTTCTTGCGCATACAATCGTTCCATCTCACTTTTACTCGGGAACGCTTAGAGGTTCGCAAATAAGGAACGGCCCAGTCACAGCACAGTGCCGAGGCCGCGCCGCACAAAAGCAGAAAGCTCAACGGCCGCGTAAGTGATCTTGTCTCTATTCTTCTATGACAGTCCTTCAGCGGTGGCTGGCTCGCAAGGCAGCGCTGACACCCACAAAGGAGCTTGACCTTTCCGGGTCCGACATACCAAACTGAGGTATTTGTCGGCTGTCAGGTCTTTCCCCGTCTCCGAAACCTGGATCACTTCTTTGACAAAGGAAGAGTGGGTGCTATCATATCTGCGATGTCAATCACTGTTGAGTCGTCCGCGCCGGGTGTCCAGTGGGACGTCTCCAGCGCCCACCCGGAAGTTCGGGCGGGAGGTCTCATACAAATGGTGACACGAGGAAGCGCCCGGGAGAGTTCACATCATAGCGGAACTGATAAGATTGCAGAAAGGTCGACGCCGAACAGATAACTGTCTTGACGTCACGCGGGAGTGACAGCACAGCGAAGTGGTCTCCGCGGGACAGGACGAAACATGTCTTTCATCTTCTAAGCACAATGGAGATTTGGAATGAGAAGTTTGACTCGGGGAGCAACCACGCGCTTATCACCCACGTTGAAAGAACGCCAAATGGCAAGCACAGGAGACAGCTCGGCCCACGAGTGAGGAGAACATATCACTGATGCGCGACAACACGGTGTTGCAGACAATAGGTGGGTGCCATCATGACTCGAAGCCGAGACGGTTGGCATCGCTGATAAGAACCGCAAGTTATCAGTATCGAAGACTCAAAACGTGTAGTTCCCCGCAACAACAGGTCTCACTTTGATATGCACATGCTTCCGAGGGCAGTGCATCATTTCTAGAACATCTCCGAGTGGGCTTCGAAACTCGCCACGTCCGGGACCTCATCTGGCGCTGGACCTACACCGGCCTGCATCGGGCGCTTGGGATAAGTAGACGCCCACAACGTTTCTGGATGCGCGAAAGGGTTCGACCAGGTTCGACCGCACAAAATAACTCACGGACCCCAGACGCGAATAATCATTCTGCAGACGGGGCCACCATCTTCATCATGATAGGGACCTCACCTCAATCGCGGGAACTAAACGAAAATGGAAAGAAGACGGTCCTGAATGGGCTTATGACTTGTTTGATTGGTATACGGCAAAGGCGTGTGGGTAAGTAAATTATACAGCAATGCCTGGAGGCCCAAATAGAGAGAGAGAGAGAGAAATGCTGGGCCAAGAGCAGAATAATACATCTGGAAAAATAAGAAGTCCATGCGGGAATTTGATGAGGATAATAATACAATGAAGCATTGCGATGAGAGATGCAGAGAATGCCACAGATGAAGAGCGGACAAGATGCTACCAAACAGCCGGTGCAGCAAATGCAAACATTTTGTTCTTGAGAGGATGGACAGACGGCAGCTCGCCAGCAATGCGAAAACCCGCGACATCGCTCTTGGCACCGTCGTAGATTCTTGCGTTGTCGTCCACAGGGCCCGTCGGTGTGGGAGGTGACAATGAAGAAGCAGGAGACGTCGTTGCAGAGTGGCTTTGGCCGGGCGTATCCGGCGAAGTGGGCGAACCGGGCTTGTAGATGGTATTTGGGGGGACGATCGGGGCAAGCTGTGAGGGCTTCGTCGGGGATGCTTGGCGCTGCGCCGAGAATGCCGGGATCGGACTCGTCGTCGTGTTGGGATCGGGTATCGGGGTGGCTGATGGCGTCGCCGCAGCTTTGGCTGCGCGCTTCGAGACTTGGTGGAGGGAATACGTCGGATATGGCCCCTTCGCCCCGGCTGCAAAGTCGGTCTGGACCAAATTTTGAAACTGGCTGAGGATAGGCTCGTCGACAGTGAGTTCCCAATCCAGATAGTTGCACATCTCTCGCTCCATCTGATTGATCTCTCGCAAGGTGAACATCCCCTGGGCCACTATACTCCACGATTTGTTCGAGTAGGTGTCGTCGCAGATGACCTTGGATGCAATCATGAAAGCGGAGATGAACAATCGATGTCCCGACGAGCCACGTGCAGTAGGGAACCTCGCTTTTAAGCGCTGTAGCAGGACAAGGGCGGCGTACGTGACCGCCGCGTGCAGTTTGGTTCGGTGCAGAGCATAAGCAATAAAATAGGGTAGTTTCGCCTGCGAGTGAGATGATTGTGGGGGAAATGGGGGACATGCGAACAGGTGCGTGATGAAGCGTGCGCTGAGGGAGGCGATATATTCGTAGCCGTAGAATGGGTCCGACTTGCTCGATGGTGGGATCTGAGCCTGAACGATGAAATAATGAGCACCAAAGAGTGTGGGAAAACTCTGGGTCGCACGGGTGGAACTGGATAGCTTTGACGCTGGTTGTGAGGCACCTTCTGGGGTGGGGCAGGTTGGGCATGTCTTGTAGCCATGGGGCGTGAATTGGGTCACGAGATAGGAATGCGAGCAGTGGGTCTATAAACGGTGCGCGGCCAGGATGAGCATCACCGACATATAAGAAGTTTGCAAGCGAAAGAGCAAGGTCTTTATTATGGCCTGAGAGGGCGTGGCTGGGATCTGAGATCCCAATCCCATCAGCCCATCATAAAAACTTTTTGTCCGGGCTCATAGTCCTTTTGAGACGAAGCACGGCCAGTGCTGGACGGGAAGGAAATGCGAAGGAAGAAGTGGGACTCACCTAGATGAGTGCGGTAGGAGGGACCAGTGCGCGGTAACTGGAGGTCAAATGAAGACCTCAGTGATGATGGATTGAATTATTCGGCCTGGAGAGTAGGGTCGAAGGAGAGTATCGAGAATGAGCGGCGCGTTTATAAAGAGCGGAGAGAGCAACGCGTGGCCGATGCGATAGTCGGGGTTCGTGGGTGGTTGGGTTCAAACAGATGATTCCGACAACAGTGCCTCAAAATGTCATTGTGTAGCATGTGACACTGTGACAACGCCTCGCTGATTTTCCGACGTCGGCCTCCAGGGCCTCCTGTGCTGAAGGGCGGTCCGACATCATTCCCGCCCCCTGATATGGGTATCCAAGCACATTAACTCCGGCCATATGGTGATCGATGACTGGGAAACGAGCAGTTCACTGTCCAGCACAGCAAAGCGATCGGCATTTCTGCGTCGAATCGAGTCACTCGCCACCGCCTGTGACTGTTGCCGACGTGGCGGTGGGTCGATATAGGTGGCACGGGTTTGCCTTGGGCTTACGGACGCTTCTTGTCCGGAATGGCAGCCTCGGAGCGTTTTTCTCACCGGACCGAATGCCCGGGTCATGCTGGCCACGACCTCGAGACGAGGTTCCTCTCATCCATCGTGTCAAGCTATGTAAACGCGGCCGAACTGCGGTAGCCTGCGAAGTCTAACTAGTTCATTCTCCCACAAGTGCACGGGCGGAGCCACTCGGACTTGCAAAAATGTTATTTGGCCGTGGCTGTGCCCAGGCGTCGGTTCGCCAAGTACTTTGCGCTTTGACTCGGTGGATATCCCCTATCAGGCGCTTCAGGCCCAAGTTAGATTTTCCGGTACACGTGCTTTTGGCCAAAATCTGATTGCAGAACATCAGCATCGAGTGTCCTTCGAATTCGCTCAGTCATGCATGAGTTATCGCATCAACGACATGTGTTGTTCTCACGGACCGCTATCAGAACCAGGAAGATCGTTCATCGTTCAGAGTGGAGTGTCAATGCGTGCCGGAGACATGCCCCAAACATGCTGCCGCTTCTGTTACTCGTGGGGGTGGGTGGGAACGTTCTGGATTGAATACCCAATCATGATCGACTGTGATTTCTTCTGCACCGAGGACCTCCGATTTTGACACAGAACTGCTCTTCTATGATTTCTGGCCCTCGTTTCTTCCATCGCGCCTGTAAATGTTATCACCTGATCGCGTCACAATCAGATCACGTGCCTGGAGCCTGATGTGATCCCTTCCGATTTGTCAACTCTTACTTACTTACCTACCTGTCAGGGCTGCACCTGATACATGCTACCTATTACTGGCACTTACCAAGGACACGGCAGGGGATCTGAATGCCTGACAAGATGCTTGCAGCGAGGTTCATGCCGCCTTCCATTTTTGCAAAGGGCCATCCATGTCTCGGCTCTTGGCAGCCCCGAGCCTGGCTCATCGGAGCCGGCCAGTGCACGAATTCAGAAGACTGAGGCTGATACAGGCTGATACGTGTAACACTGCACGCAAATGCGACAGCGGCGCCAGCACCTCTCTCGAAGGGCCCTCTTTTGCATGGCAGACGCATGCAGCCGTCCAGGTCACTCTTGCGAGCTGCTTCAGAACGCTTGAACGCTAAATTGCAGACTCCTGTGATTCAAGCCAGTAGAAATTTATGTGCTCATTTGAGTGCTCTGCGTTCTACTCCTAGAATTCTGGTATGGAATTATCTGATCAGCAGCCGAGTAGAGGCCGTCTGGGAAGGATACAATACTGCACGCGGACCATCCGGCATTGGTGAGAAAGTATCAGGATGGTTCACCGAGCAATGGATACCAAGCATTGCATCCGGCACTTGCGGAACGAGATGCAAGCTCTGGTGCATACTGCGAATGACAGGGTTGAATGAGGGGCATGATTCACTCAAATTCCGTTTTGTATCAGGACTCAACAAGAGGGGTTACTGATTGCCATCCGCAAAACTTTTGTAAAACACCCAGGCATCGACATATTCTTCACCCGCTCCGTCTGCGCGGACAAGCCGTCCCGCTTTGGGGATCAAACCGGCCTTTTGAAAATTGAGGCCCTCCCAGAGCCTAATCAATATCAATATAAAGATCACCATAGGTTTAGGCGCTTACTTGACAGAGGCTGTGTTATTGGTGTAGACCAAGTTAAAGACGCTCGCTTGGTAGCCCAATTTGGGCGCATAGTGCAGGAAAGATTTGGCTAAAGCGGATCCGTATCCATGTCCGCGCTGGATCGGGGGCACAACAAATCCTCCGTTGCAGATCTGAACAGCGTCAGGTCAGGAACAGTAGAGTCAGAGGACTAACGTGTGATGATCTGCCGGGATAGTTGGGTTTCACCTGGAATTGTGAGTCACACAAAAGGCACCACCGGCGTCGAGCCCGGAAGAAAACGAACATAATAATAGCCCGCGACGCATTCCTCCCACGATCGTTGACCCCGAGCTTCATCCAGAGTCAATGCAGTCGCGGCCCCCTCAGAGACCGTGTCACCGGTATCATCGAGCCGGGCGATAGCCAGAAATACATCTCCGGCGAAGAAATAGCCCTCGAACGCATCCAGAGGCATCACTTCTTGGGGGTATGTTCGACCATCTTCAATCACCTGCGCCATTACTCCACCTTCCGAAATACAACGATGAGCATCTCGCTGGCTGACTCGAGTGTCATTCCGGTACCGAGGTATCCGATCAGCCCCCCTTCCTTCTGCGCCGTCGAATGGGTGAGATGATGAATTGTGATCGCGGACCGATTGCCTGGGGTGGAAGAGCGCCCGGCGATCCAGACGGTGGACGGAAGGAGGCCCTCCGTGCTTGAGGCTTTAGCGATCGCACCGTAGGCGGACATGTCGTAGTAGAACGTCGTCAACGATAAGTAAAAGTGCAAGGTTTAATATGTTGATCAATTCAATGATCGATCAAGCCTTACCTCAGAGTCTTTCATCAGCGCAGCCTTCTAGTCCACTTGCAGCTGGCTCTCGCGCTAAGTACAAATATCTTCGTTTCCTAACCAAGTAGCTATTCCATCCTCCCCCAAAATCCAGGCTTCCAGGCAAAGCCGCAGTAGCAAATAGCACCATCTGTCGACCGGAGGTTTCCAGTAGATCTGCCGAGTACCTTCCACGGGAACTCTAGACCTCCGCTCTGTCCTTACTCATTCCCGACACCTAGCGGCTTCATTTCCTCTTCTTGAGAACGCGAACCAGGACGGTGCGGACCGGATTGAGAAACGTCCGCGAGAAGGCGGGGGCAAGATATAATGAGGCTGCTACGCGGACAGGGAGAAGCGCCTGGAATATGTGAGTATTACGCTTACGTATGCACGAACACGTATCATGGGCCAAGCACCTTGGTAGCAGCATAAGCAACGACTGCGTTGGCTACATCGCCGGCGATGGTCCCAGAACCCTTCATCTCAGATTCCTGTACTCGGCCGGCCTTCTTGAATCCGAACACACCGTACCGACGCCCGACGCGCGCGGCCCACTCCTGGCCGTCATCCATCCAGTGAGAGCATCTCTGCACCATCCAATTGTCTGAATCCGAGGGAATGGCGGCGACGACGCGGTCTCCCACTCCCAGCGTGCGCGCGCCGTAGAAGATACCAACCAGAGGTACCAGTGCTGTAATTTCGTGCAGGATGCCAAACGAGAGTATGAGTGAAGACAGTGGCGCGCCGGTGCGCGCAGAGACTGATTTCAGAGCCTCCCGATAACGGTCCAAAGCAGACATCGGTATTGGTCACAGTCTCACAGACGGACTCCAGGCTCGTGACGGCGAATTAGGGTTGCACGTGATGAGGAATTTTGCCATCCGGTTCTCCGAACCCATTACTGCGTACCCCGCCACTGGCTGCCTCAGGCTCCAGCCATGTTGACTAGGAATATTGTTCGGCGCTGCATCTCGACTCAGGGGTCGACGCGTGCACTATTGTCCTATTCCTCGTCGCGCGCCAACTCGTCCCAATTCCCGCACAATGCTATGCGTCTGCAAACAACACCTCAGAAAGAAACAGCGCAGTATCCCGAATGGAACCACATTCAGGGCTGGAGGAATGTCGTCTTACGTACCTCCACGCGGATATCCTCCCCCGTCGACGCCCTTGCCCTCGTTCGGGCGGTTCAACAACAATTCGGTCGTGTGGCTGAATATCGGTTCAACCGGGACGGAGAAGACCGCGGCCAGTACCAATTCATGGCGTATCTCTCGTTTCGTGACTACGAGTCGTATGCTCGCGTGCCGGAAGAACCTGTTCAGTTTCGAATCCGGGTCCCCGTGGGCGAACGAGATCTGCTCTCGGGAGGCGTCGGTCTGGAGGACTTGGCCCCATGGCTGGATTCGCTGCAGGGGCAGGACGGAATCGTTGATGCAGAGGTGGAAACTCAGTTCGATAACAATGAAAAAGCGCCAGAGGGCTCGAGATTCATTGTGTTCGTCGTTCAAAGAAGTGCGTGCTCCTTTGCGGTAGCTATGCGTTCTCAATGCATGTCCCACAGACCAGGGACGCTTCCAAACTTCGCATTCATCACCGCCCTCCTATAACTCTCGCTTCCACAACAGTCTCACGCGCAGCTTTCTGAGGTGGCGAGGATTTGCGGACCTTCCTGATTTGGACGGAGACGTACAACTTGACCGCCGATTCATGTGGATGGATGGCGCGCCGGTTGACCACCCGCATATGCGGCACCAACTATCGATATGGGGCGATCCGTACGCTCTTTCGCCGCGACCAAAGCGACCCGAGGTGAGCGATTGCGGCACTGTCGAGACCAATATCAAATGACCCTTGAATCAGCTCGTGCCCCAATCTACCAGTGTTCCCGAGTCGGCGCTTCCCTGGATGAACGTTCAGTCCTCCGATCCATCCGTAGAAGAATCTCGGGAGACACACCCTGAGGTCGACATTCCGGCAGCTGCACAGGTATCGGAAGTAACTGTCGATCTTCCAGCAGTTTCACTGGAATCGGAAGCACATACCGATCTCCCGCCAGCTGCACTGGATTCGGAAGTAACTACCGAGATTGTGACCGAGCAAGAGATCGCGCTGGAAGCCGAGCCGGAGCCTTCAGCGGCTGAGCTGGAACAACAGCAGGCTGTAGATCTTGAACTGGCCCAGAGGAATATGGATGAGCAGCAGAGAATCAGGGAGAAACAAGCTGCTGTCGCTGCTACCAATCGTCGCATGCAAGTCCGGGCTGCCCGAAGTGTTCCGAAATCGCTCGAAGAGAAATCAACCAAGGCCGAGAAACCACTGAACAAGGTCGAACACCAAAAGAAGTCACAGCCACACTCGAAGCCTTCCTCTTTGTCTCAAAATTCCAGGGTTCCTCCAACCGTTGGCTCAAAACCGAAGTCTTCTCCCTTACCCCAAAGGCCCCGGATATCTCCAACGACGGTCAGCTCGAAACCGAAGCCTCAGGAGCCGATCGTGGAGCAGCCCGACACCAGCCGCATCGATGTCGAGGAACGGCAGGCGGGGATGACGTCTAGACTAAAAACCTTTGTTGGCAAATGGATTTAGTAGAGCATTGAAATCATTTCATCCCTCAAGTAGCCCGTGACATGACATCGATCACATGCACTGAGTGGCTGTATCGAGATCACTCGCACATTCCCGAGTCGGCGGCCAGAATCTCTGCGCATAATTTGGACGCAACCCATGACTCCAAATAATCTAGACTCCTTTATCGTCTCAAAAAAGCCACCACCAGAAGCGCTTGCTGCCTCTCAAGAAATCCGGGACCGCGGCTCTCTATTTTCAGCAACGATTTACTCGGCTACTTCACCGTCACAAGCTTCAGCATGCATAACACACGTTCGGAACGTCGTTCATGCGTTGAAACCTGCTTCCCACGAGATGAGTGCATGGCGTTGCATGGTGGTCAAACAAGGTTCTACTGGATTGGGCGGTCCTGAAGACTTTGAGGTGCGCGAGGGTAGCTCGGATGATGGTGTGTGATCAACGCTGTTCCCTGTTCCTTTGTTCACCCGATCTGCCGTACATAGGCGAACGCTGGGGCGGCGAAAAAATACTCGGTCTGATGCGCAAGCAGGGTGTCCTTGATGCGGTCGTTATCGTCAGTCGATGGTACGGCGGTGTCATGCTTGGTCCTGCTCGGTTCAGCCACATCGAAACATGCACCGTCGAAGTTTGTCGAGAGTTCAGACGCAGGGAGGAAGTCAGCGAGGCCCTATCGACCTTGAACACCCTTGACGACATTCTGAAGCAACTGCGCACGGAGCTAGCTGTCTTGCGGCAGCAAAGCGCTGGAACTGAACGGAAAGCTGCCGAGTACTCTTCCTGGATAGACCAGGATCTTCCCAAGGCTCGAAGGCTGATCCGGGCTAGAGAGAGTGCAATTAGCACCGTCAAGGAACTTATCGTGAAGGAGCAGACGGCCAGTCAAGCGCCGCCGCCTCCATGATCGAAGACGCACGTTCCTTCTCTATCCGGCTGCGCCGCCATTCTGTTGCATGGGACGGATCTCACAACACTGCACTCCATATCTTGACCGCTTGGGTGCACGACTGAAGTGAACCACATGTTACATGCACGGTCCGGGAAAGTGTCTGACCATCGCAAGGTACCCCAACGATCATGCAAGGATGATATCATGCAGTAGACTCATCGTCATCCCAGATGCGGTCATCTCAATTCATCCGGGGTCCCCTTTGACTCGGGACCACACAGCATCAGAAAGAATTATTGCTATCCGTGGAACGTGGCGTTCGGCGTCGATGTGGCTTGATGGAGGTCGATACAGCCGATCAGCTGCATCGATAGCATATCATGTTATCAGAGGCAGAGGAGACAGCATCCAGTTTGCGCATCAATATGTCTGATTCTATACATAGCCAAGCATTAGAACATGAACCCAGGTAACCTAACTTTCGCATGTCCGTCCTCTCAACCACCGTGATCATCTCGCACCGCCATATCGCACTTTGCGGCCAATGTCAAAGGGAACATACTTGTACTTGATCATGTGCCTGTGGGAGCTGATGAGCATTGCCGACTGCTACTTGCACTTGGAAACCCACTGGATCTGTCGCCGCATGGTCAAGGAGAACAGGACGAAGAAGTATACAACAAGGATGGGCCAGTACACCGGGACATCGAACACTTCTGAAAATGTGCAGAAAAGCGCGATGACCGTTGCACGCGTGGCCGATAGCCTGACAGATAGACGAGGTCAGCCCTGCAGAGGTTGGCACCCAGCATTGACAAGCAACGCACCAAAACTGCCATTCCGGGAGCCGGCGCACGAATGGACGGAATTCATCGTCGCGCGAACTCGGAAGCGACGACGTGTCACCGGTCCCGCCCTCTGCGTCGTCCGCGAGCAGGTCTTCTTGCAACGACGGATCAAATTTGGGTTGCAAAAAGGCCAAAAGAAGGTTCAGCAGGTAGATTGCGTGCGCGTAGCAGACTGCAGCGTGTACATGAAGGGACTTTATTTGCCGGACAAAAAACGCGGCGTACCAATATACCACTGCGCGCGGAGACAAACGTTAGCCAGATGTCCGTTACGACTGAGATAGGAAAAACGAACTCACCCCTTGTGCAAAGATAATGCGCAGGAAAAAGACCGACAGCAGCCCGCCAGTTCCCAGCCAGCGATTGAGAGTGTAAGGTGTCCAGTGGTCAAGCAGTTGTTGGTACATTCGTTGCGCGCGAGTAACTTGTCCCTGAAGGTTTTGTACGGGCGTTTGGTCCATTTCTGAGGCAGACATCATGGTCGACGTGCTCGGTCGTGCTCGTTGCTGCGGATGGAGGCGGCCGGTCGTGTCAGGCAAGGTACAAATGTGAGAAGTTTGGCGACCTTTGGACACCTTCCTCTTTAGGACGCGGGCCGCGCTTGGGGCTGGTAGTCATTGTATCCACTGAACGAACACCTGTCTTCACTATAACGCTCATCGACTCGACCTATGGCTGGGGGATTTGGGCCTCCGCTGGGCGGGTCTTCGCTGGAAGGATCTGAATGGCGGGGCGAGGCTCGTGTAGTCGGTCCGCCCTGGACACATCTAATAACACTCACAATCGGACTGCTCGGCGTGCAAGTATTCTGGAGCGTCGAGATGTCATACGGCTCTCCATACCTCATCTCGCTTGGCTTCAGCACCTCCCATGTCGCGCTCGTCTTCCTGGCCGGCCCGTTCTCCGGACTCGTCGTGCAACCGCTCGTAGGGGCATATGCCGACACCTCCACCTCTCGCTTCGGACGGCGCAGGCCATATATCCTTGTCGGATGTCTACTCTGTGTGGTGGGAATGCTGCTGCTTGGGTACACGCGCGGCGTCGCGGGTCTTTTCACCACGTCAGGCTCGTCTGCGCACTCGACCCTCACGATGGTCCTCGCAGTCGTCGCGATCTTCCTAATCGACTTTTCCATCAATGCAGGTGTGTTTTTCCTCGTATGCGACTTGCTGAACCGAACCTCCATGTCTCCAGTGCAGGCGGTTGACCGCGCGCTGGTCGTCGACACACTGCCTCCCTCCCAACAAGCAGCGGGAAATGCCTGCGCAGCCCTGATGCTGGGCCTCGGTGCCGTTGTAGGTTTTTTCGTGGGAAACTTGCCGTTGGTATCGATGCTGTCTTTTCTCCACGCAGAGTCGGAGCTGCAGGCGCTCTCTGGCCTTGTTTCCATGATCCTACTCGGATTCCATCTCGTCACAGCGATTCTTGTTAAAGAGCGGGTGCTTGTCGGATCACCCGACACACCCAGACCGTCATTGAGACACGAGTTTCGTGAGATATGGGCCAACGCGCGGTCATTGCCTTCAGTCATCAGACAGATTGTGAGCATTTCGCTCGTTTTCTTCTCGAATCTCACATCTGAACATTTGCTGCAGTGCTTGACCCAGTTCTTGTAGGCTTCCGGTCGGTTTCCGATTCGAGCTGCTCTCTTACGTGCTGCAGTGCATGGCTCGGTTGGTTCCCGGTTCTGTTCTACACGACCCTGTACATCACCGACGTGTATATGCGTTCGGCAATGAATGTCCCACCGAGCAGGCGCGAGGAAACCGCTGACTTGGACGAAGCCACCCGTTTAGGTGCCCACGCGCAACTGCTTTCTTCGATTCTTTCTCTGGCGACCAACGCTCTTTTGCCTCTTTTGACTGCACCGTCGTCAATGACGTCATCACCACACACAAAGTCAGGGACAAGACAGTGGCTTCCGCAGTTTTCGCTGCCCATGTTGTGGGCTGCAAGTCATGCCATATTTTCATTGTGCATGATCGGAAGCTTGTGAGCATTGTGTCTCGTGAGATGGCGCAGACTGCTGACAATAATGGGTAGCTTCGTACAGAGTGTTGCTGGTGCGACAGTCTTGATCGTGTGTACCGGGTTTTCCTGGGGCGTAACCCAATGGGCGCCGTTTTCTCTGGTCAGGATGTCGTCAGGTGCTCGAGTCTCTCACTGACATGTCTTTCTAGCTAGCGGAGGCGATCCTGACCTCGAGTCCGACCCCTGACGCTCATTATATTCAGCTCTCGGACCATCGTAGCGCGACGAACCTCGTCGCAGACGAAGAAGACGAGCGACAAGCCTTTCTTGTCGCTGAGGAAGACGAAGAAGAGTCTGATGAGGACGCCGAATCGGTCGAGACGGCTACTCCAACAAAAGGCATGGGCAAGGCTCAGGTCTTATTGGGGAACTCGTTGGCACAGATGAGTGTCGTCGATGTCACCACTCCAAGATTGCCGGCTCCAGAGCCGGAGATAGTCGACGTTGAACCCAGAGCCGCCGCCGTCGGAGGACTCGGTGCCAAAGCTGGCGTGATTCTGGGCATTCACAACATATTTATCGTGATCCCTCAGTTCCTGATCACAGGATTTTCTGCAATTGTATTTGCAGTGCTGGATGGGGGCCAAAAAAAGGGAAGAAACTCGGTTGTATATATATTTCGGTTTGTGCCGACTGTCATTTGGAAGATTGCCACTCATTGTCGGCAGAATCGGGGCGATATGGGGCGCAATCGCGTTTGTGCTCGCTTGGCGATTGGCCCGCGAGCTGAGACGAGGCAAAAGTAGTATAGCCGGACATTTGATTACTTAATCGACTACACGCAAAGTGAGATGACGGCACTAGCCCTTGAGTTTCTTCATCCTCGGTGCATCGTCCTCCGGGGCTTCCGACTGCCTGGCGCGCTTCTTCCCTTTAGCCTTTTTCTTCTTCTTCGCCTTGGTATTTGGGTCGTCGTCTACGTCATCCTCTTGGTCAGGTCGGTACTCCGCAGACTCAACATCCAATCTCCGACTCCTCCTGGTCCTCAGCGGACTTCCGGACGCAGCCGCAGCGACACCTTCCATCTCGGCTGTCCGGATCCTCCTATCGGCGGGACTCTCCAGCTCTTCGTCGGTTGAGTCGCCGCGCTGGGAATAGGCCCATGAAGGGGTCGGAGATCCCCGCCGCCGCCCGCGTGAGACGGATGCGTTAGTCGACGTTGAGCCTGCATTTGATACTGGCGGACGGGGACTTGAATCCGGATTGGTGACTCTGGACGACCGCTCTCTTTTCAAAGGCTGTAGCTGCTTCTTGACCCCTCTGACCTCTTCACCGTCTCTGGGCAGATAGAAGACCTCCCCCTCCCTGAGAATGTCCAAACCAACAAGTTGCCGCACGATGCCAATGAGATCGCTGCTGAAGTCGAGTCCCTCGATGTCACTGACCATCCGGTGGCTGTCCTCAGTCGTCGCATCACCGAGATCTCTGATGTCCGCTTCGGCAATTAGATCCGATGAGCCGAGCGAGCAGCCTGGAACGATGAAACAGATACGAGGGCTGTCTGGGTTTTCCGAGTCCTCTGGCAGGTCGATTCGACGATATCGGCACTGGGACCGAGTCATTGGTGATGTGTTAGTAGATGTTGTGGCGGGCAGGGTCGGAAGAGAAGCGACACTGGAGGACGTAGAGCTCGTCGATGGCGTGCGTTCAACGCTTGGTCGAATAGTCGTCATCGAGTTCTGACGGACCGGTTTCACTGAATGTCGGTGCCAAAGCGTGGGCGGAGCCACTGGCGGGGGTGGTGGCGCTGGAGGCGGTGGAGGAGGTAAGGCATGCGCCGTTCGCTGTATTGTCACAACTCGAGGTGAGGGGGAGCGGGATGGGACCAGAAGCTTGGAGATCATGCTTGAGTTCGACGACGTTTCTTCTGCATTTTCCTCGTCTGACTCAACAGCCTTCTCTTTACCCTTGGACCGAGCCCTGGCAACGGATCCGACGCTGACTTTGCTGGCTTTCGAAGTCGCCGACTGGTCATCGTTGTCGTCGTCATTCTCGTCGCGCTTGCGTTTAAGTGTCCCAGAGCTACACGGGCTTGAGAATATTCGTACATTAGATGAGAACAGAAGACGCACTCTTGATCAGATGTGATGACTTCCGCAAAATCTCGAGTAACAGCAGGAGGCGTTCTTTCTGATTCCTCATGTTTTGCATCCATGACAGCAGATGAGATTGGTTCTGGTTGGGGTTTTTCTTCAACAGCAATATTTTTTACCTCGGATTCAGCATCGATTTCCGTCGAGGCAATGACAGGTTCGAAAACCGATTCAATCACAGGCTCTTCGACTGTGGGGGTATCGAGCTCTGAGTCGTCGCCGAGAGAGACTTCGTCGCCATCCGCATCCGCATCGGAGCCAGAGTCGTCCCTCGACGCTGTGTTGGCGTCCTCCTCTGCCGATCGTTCGTCGACCGTGAATAAGTTTCGTTCCTCGAAAACAGGTTCGTCAACGACAGGTTGTTCGACGGATTGCTCGTCTGTGGTGGAGTTAATGACGGTCCGTTTCTCGAGGGCTCGCTCGTCATCGATGACTGAGCTTGGCGCATCGGTGACAACAACTGGATCGTCAATGGCGGTAACTGGATCTTCGAAAACAGTGTCTGACTCGTCGACAACAGCAACTGTATCATCGACAACAGCGACTGAATTGTCGGCGATTGTATCTTCACCGGCAGGAATGGCAAGGATTGAACCATCGTCTTCGCTCTTTACATCGTCAGAGACCGCACTTTGGTGCTGGAAAACAGAACGGTCATCCCCGATCAATTCATCTTCAAGGGATGATTCGACGACCGCCCCATCTGGCACCCATTCAAGAGCTAATGGTTTGCCCACGTCCTTGTCGAAGTCCTGGCCTCCGTCAGAATTCGGATACCCCAACTCGACTTCATCTTGCCCGTCAGCGACATCGGAGTCTCGATTGCCAGCAGCTTCCTCTCCCTGTACTTCTTCCAGTGCATCCGATTTTGGCAACGTGGTATCAACCGTTCTGAGCGAGTGATCAACGTTTGGCCGCTCCACTGTGCGAATGAGAAGCACGTACCTCAGATCGAAATCAAGTGAAACCGGAGCCGGTGGTGGGCTGGATGCCCGGGATGAGAGACCAGAGACGGGAGTGAACAAGCTTGCAGACGTTGTCCGGGCCAGTAACAGAGAGGGGAGCACAGTTTGGACTAGCGGGGGCGAGCCGGGATAAGGGTCGGCGACATTTTCGTTGGCAAGGATTGGCATCGGAATCGGGTCGAGTAGAGGAGAAATGGTCTGGTCCCCATGAATGGGGTGTTCGGGCAGAGTAGGATTAACCAGGGCCTCATCCTGCACAAGAAGTTCTGCTTGGTCTGCTTGTTCAAGCGATTCGACTTTCTCCAAGAGTTCGGCATCCTCTGAAGGTTCGACATTTTGCGAAGATTCAACTGATTCGAGCAGCTCGACTTTTTCGGACGCCTCGGCAGTACATGCATTGTTTCCAACTTCCTCGACGACAGTCGTGACACCCGCACTGATCTTCATGTGTCTCTCCTCCGTCGGCTCTTCTTCTGTAGACAATCGCGAATGAGGCTCGACGGAGATATTGCGCGAGATGGAGGGGTTTGTGACTCCTTCAACTTCTCCGTTGAGATCAGGCTCTTCTCTCTCGGTATCTTCAGCATGTTCTTCAACATCGTAGTCCGTCATAGGTTCCTCCACAAAGAAAACGCGGTTTTGCGGTTCGATAGACACGGTGCGCGAAATGACGCGAGCTTCAGACTGCCCGTCTGTGCCTTCTGTCTCGCTTTCAGCTTCTTCCACGACATAGCCGAAACCAACGCCAATCTGCAGATAATAGTCCTGTTCAGAAGCCGTGAGAGGCGCGCTCGGATCCGTAGGCACCGCTTCAAACGTCGGCAACTCGTCGCTCGAGTCGTCGAAGATTTCTAGCGGTGGAATCCTGGGATCGCCGTCTTCGTTGTCTTCGTCGTCGTCATTTTGATAGTGAAGGGTATCATCCCAGCCAGTGGCTGAGCATCCTGAGTATCGGAGTGAAGCCTTCAAGGCAGACGCACCATCAACTCCGAAATCTGGGGATGATGTCGCGATCGGACTTGAGCCCGGAAGAACATCAGCATAATCCACGGCGAGCTCGTCATCGCCAGCGTCTATATCGGCTTGCAGTAGTTCGGCAAGTGTCAGATGCTCGTTTGTTGAGATGGGAGGTGGAGAGGAGCCTAGCGGCTTCACTTGTTCGTCGTCGCCGTCGTAATCAGCTACCACCTCAGACGGATCCGCATGCGGGGAAGAGCCGATCTGGTCCTCTTCAGCCAATTCGTCCATCTGCTTGTCTTGCATCAAGTAAACTGTCTCGACAGGTGGCGCTGAAACCAGTTCAATAAGGAAGCAGGCACGATGAAAAACAGTCACCATATTCATTCTCCTTCTCGGATTCCGAACCGGTCTCAGCTTCGTCTTGATCTTCGTGACTTTCATACCTGAGAAAGGGACTGTTTAGCGCCAGCTCTTCGTGGTTCTGGACCATGTCCTCGTCCGAATAAACCTCGACGATGTCGGCTTCATCCATCTCTTCCTCCGGCTCCTCATCTTCGGCTGGTTCGTCATCTCGAGCTGAAACGTTGTGCTTCCGCGACCAACGCGCGTGCGCGCGAGCTGAGCTCTCCCCGTGTCTGATGGCCAACTCTTCTTCTTCTTCGTCGTCGTCATCCTCCTCATCATCATCCTCTTCTAGTTCCTCCTCCTCCCCTTCTTCGAGATCATAATCCACTCCCTCTTCATCCTCCTCCTCCTCCTCGCCCTCCAGATCTCGTAGACGCAACCGTAGTCGCGGTCCCCCTTCGTCCGCTTCTTCGTCATACTCCGCTCCGCTGTCTTGTCCTTCCTCATTCCCATCATCAACCTCATCCTCGTCAGATTCCATGTCAATTTCGATAGGCGCGTCGCGGTCGCCCCGACCAAGTCCAGGTCCCTCGCGTGGGTCGCGCCCTTTGCCTTTCGCGTCTGCGGTGGTAGGTTGTCGCACGTAGTCCTCCTCCTCTACGTCTTCGCTCGCACTCCGCGCCACATGCCACTCCTTCTTCGTCTTTACTTTGTCCGCACTCGTCTCGGCGCGAAACCCGAGCGCGCCCTTGAGAGCGCTCGTGATATCTCCGATCCATTCGTCAAACTGGGGTTGAGTGAACTTATCATAGGGATTTATGACGGGGGCGCGGAGGGCGATGGGCTTCGGTGCATGTCGCGAGCGCGAGTAACGCGACACTGAGGTAGAAAGTGACTGAGTGGCGGAGATCGAGCTGGGGAAGGAGCCTATGGGGGCGGAGGAGGAAGAAGAATGGGAAAAGGAGGCGGATGAGATGCGCGCATTGCCATTGCTACTGAAAAAGGGTGGAGAGGACATGATTTCGCCGTAGAGAGCAAGGTCACGACATGCGAGTCTGCGACAAGGCGAGGATTGATGTAAAGGGCACGTGCGCTACAAACTAAAGCAATTATTACGCGTAACGCGTCATTCATTGACTTGGCCGGGACGCGCAGGCTTCGAGTAATATAAGGATTAAAAAGATTGCGTTTGCACAACAAGTCTTCTCTCGTCTATGAGAATACGTAGAGATTTCCCCAGCCAAGACGGTTTGTCCTCACCGAAGCCCAACTGCGGTCCGTCTCCGAAGAAAACGTAACCCGGAATGTATCGGTCTACGAAACTAGACACGGCTCAGATTGAGTTGAGGAATATCTGGGTCTCAAACGTACGTTTTGACTGCAGCATCTGACATGCCCAGCCCACCGTTTCGGTCTTTCATGTAGTGCTCTTGTTCCAATCGCCATTTATATATCACAGAAAGCGGAGAGCTCAAATCACCGGTGGATGAGAACGGTTGGAGCTGCAAGCCGGGTCATAAGCCATTTTACTGTCAGATCATATTACTCACCTGAATAAAGATGTCGAAGAGATTCCACATGGGGACATACTCTTTGAGAGCTTCGTTCACTCGTAGGATATCTTCCTTCCTGATGAAATCCACACTGAGACCAAGACGCGTGCTTTCTTCCTTCCAGGAACCGTCCCATCGCTCATCGATCTCAGCCGGAGAGATTGGATAGAATCCCACACACCACCCCTCGAGGACAACGATGTCAACGGGAGGATAAACGATGAGCGCGCCGCCAGACCCCAATGGTAACCGATCACCCTCGCCATCGAACAGACTCTTCTCGAAGCGAGGCAATTCCACCGAGGCAGCGCCGGCCTTCACTCGACTGAGGACCTCCATTCCGAGCAACACATCGTGTGTGCCCGGCTGCCCACGCCCTTGCCAGAGTGTATTAGTGGGGTTATCACGAGCCAGCTTTACCAATCCCGAGTGAGGGAGGTATAGGTCGTCTAGTGAGAGAAGCGCTACGTTCAAGGATCGAGAGCGCAACTGCTCGACGAGAAGATTGGACGTATATGATTTCCCGGAGCCCTGCGGCCCTTGTAGCGCGACAAAAAGTGGGCGTGTCCTCGAAAGTCCATCGATGACGTGCGCAAGGAGGGGAGCGAGTGCAGACATGCCGGGAGATGAGAACTCTATCTTAGTCCGTGATAAGATCATCGATGATGGATCATGCACTTCAAAATTACAACGGAATCCGTATGGGCTACATATGATATATACATGAATCGTCACGACTCGACGGTATTAGATGGGCATTCCTTGATCCGGCAGTCGTTCAATGGCGTATTTCCTCTTCACGACGTACATGAGTGGAACACCAGGAATCTGCCGGATGCGACGGCGGAGGTCTCGATCACAGGTTGCAACGATATAACACTTGTGCGAAGTGACCCTTTCAACAAGGCAGTCATCTGCGTATGTGCCCGAGTGTGAACATTTCAGGCGCTCGAATCGGGGATCCCGTGCCACTCTGTCGTAAAAGTCAGATAAAGTCCCAGATAATTAGTATGGCTCACCTCAGAGCCACCCTATACCGCTGCCCTAGTTTCTCCAACTCGGCCATCACGCAGTCAGTTATGCACGGGATACCTGGGACCCAGCCTGAGATGCGCGGAGCAAGTGTCCAAGCTCCGACGACTCACATTTGGCATACAAGCAGTCCATCATCCCACTGACCAGCTCCAGTTTGTTTTGCAGACTGAAGTTGATGAAGTTGGTGTCGACGAGCACGCGATAGGGAGGCACGAGAGCGGCGTTGTGAGACAGGAACAAGGATGAAGCAACCTGAGGTCTTGTGGGCAGAGTGAGTTGACTGCACGCTCATCCGTTTCAACGTGGACTCACAGTCTTCGAACCGATTTCTCTTTGGCTTGTTCCTCTTTCAAACTTTGCTTCGCTTGATTCTCCTTGCTAGATGTGCAAGTGCTTCAGCGACAGCTTGCGGAACGATACAAGAGTACTCACAGCCGTATGTCATTCGGATTCAGCATCCGTTTGACCGTCGCAAATTTGCGTGTTTTCTTTGCTTTTCCCTTCGTGATACAATATGAGAGCGTATCCGTTATCAACTAGAATACCCACGGACCATGTTCTCGGGAACTTGGTGGTGTTCAAGGTGGAGGTGGCGATGAGGAAAACTTTTGACACGCTGATGTGTGATGGGAATGATTACCCGCTATCTACTCGTTATCTAATCTTGTGAAACGTAACGCCGAATGGCATTTGTGAAGTCAGGCAGAAAAAACCATAGTGAGCACTAATAGAACCCGAACGACGACCATTCGACTTCTGAATAATTGGGTTCCGAATTGTAGTCAAGGATGAAGCCGGTGATGAGTGACCCAACGGTAAGTGACGACAAGGACACTTGCCAGCGGCCTTGCTTGAGCTTAAGGGCCAGCATAATCTCAAAAAGAAATCTAAACTCTTCCTTTCTTCCAACATCCTTTCTATTGAAGACACCCTCTTTTCTGACATCACTTGCCGTCCAATAATCTAACCGATGATTAATACTTTAGGAACAAATCTCCGACTGATCCTGACGAATCTCCGGACTTGTCTGGATTTCTAGCCCGCCGTCTCCATTACCCCACTCTGAAACCAAGTAGTCGGGCAACGCAAAGTCCGGTCGGCGTTTCAGCCTTTTCCCAAGCTTTACAGCGGCATTGATGAAGATTGAGAATGCCAGATGTTTCAGTTATTAACATTAGACTATGAGCCGTCATACATGCATGTATTATAGTGACGCCTTGAGCCTGAGTTTCTTGAGTTTACATTCACGTTTTTCCAGACCCTGCGAGGAAGAAATGCACTGCTGATGGACGCGGTCAAGTCGGGGATCAGCGCCCCTTGCCCCATCAAGCAACGGAAGTATTTTCGTGTCTTGATTTTGCACTCCCATCTGACTGTCGTTGAAACATGCCAATTACTGATCCTGCTTCCTGTGCGGCCTTACGCTGTCGTGCACAGCTACTATCAGGAACCGCCACGCCCCCCATATAAATACTGTGAATTCACAGACTAGTGACTCACAATCATTCTCTTGCTTTAGACTGGCTGCGTTGCAAACTTCAACTCAATCTACGCCTGCGTATAATACAACTCTAATCATGTCGGAAATTCGCACTCGCACTCGTCGCCGGTCCTCCACTGGTATCGTCCACGTCCTCGCTTCCCCCCTCGCGTCGCACATGCCCTCGTTCCCCGACGCGCCGATGCCCCGCACACTGCTCGCCGATTTCGTAGCCTCCTTCAACGAGCTCCAGTCCTATCGCAGTGGCAGACCAGTCGTCCTAGACGGACAAAACCTCTCCATTGCTGCGGTCACCGCCGTATCGCGATACAGCGCCGGTGTCGAGCTCGATAGCTCGCCGCAGATCAAAGACCGTGTGCAGCGCAGTCGTGACGTGATAGTCAAGAAGGTGGACGGGAAGTCGAGCATATACGGCGTGACAACGGGTTTCGGGGGCAGCGCTGACACTAGGACGGACCAGCCGCTTGTATTGGGCCATGCCTTGCTGCAGCTTCTCCAAGCGGGCGTCCTTCCCTCGTCGAGCGCCATGCCTTCTGCCCTGCCTCTTCTTGACCCCTCGAGCTCAATCATGCCAGAGTCCTGGGTCCGTGGGGCCATTCTCGTTCGCATGAACTCGCTCGTCCGCGGCCATTCTGGCGTGCGGTGGGAGCTGGTGGAGAAGATGAACGAGCTTCTCGTAGCGAACATCACGCCTCTGGTTCCTCTCCGCGGCAGCATCTCCGCTTCAGGGGACTTGGCTCCGCTGTCTTACGTCGCTGGCTGTCTGAGCGGCAATCCCGCCATTCGAGTTTTTGACGGGCCGGCGACTAGCTTTGGTGTACGCAACATCTTGCCTTCCCCAGTGGCCTTGAAGGCTCGTGGCATCGAGCCTATATCCCTAGCATCGAAAGAGCACCTGGGACTCTTGAATGGGACCGCGTTCAGCGCGTCTGTGGCATGTTTGGTTTTGAATGACGCGGTTCACCTAGCTTTGTTGTCTCAGATCTGCACAGCCATGGGTGTGGAGGCGCTTGCCGGTAGCCGGGGCTCGTTCGATCCTTTCATTCACGACGTTGCGCGTCCACATCCTGGACAGGTGTGTGAGATGCACAATATTGAAAGCCTGGCTGAAATGTTCTGTGCAGATTGAGTCGGCCAAGATGGTATGGGACTTGTTGGAAGGTAGCAAATTCGCAATCACATCTGAGGAAGAAGTCACGATAGAAGAAGACTCGGGTGTTCTGAGACAGGACCGTTATCCCTTGCGCACGGCGCCTCAGTTTATCGGACCTCAGCTCGAGGATCTTTTGACTTCGCTCGACACTATCACTCGGGAGTGCAATTCCAGTGAGTGTTTATTTTTACTTGTCCGGAAGCTTCTTCTCATGCCATGCAGCGACAGACAACCCGTTGGTCGACGGCACTACGGGCAAAATCCATAACGGCGGCAACTTCCAGGCCATGGCTGTGACAAACGCAATGGAAAAGACACGTTTGGGACTACATCACATCGGGAAACTGCTCTTCTCGCAATGCACCGAACTTCTGAACTCGGACATGAATCGGGGTCTGCCGCCGTCACTGGCAGCTACGGATCCATCGCTGAACTATCACGCGAAGGGAATCGATATCGCGATTGCGGCCTATGTTTCGGAGCTGGGACATCGGGCAGCTCCGGTTTCAACGCACATACAGTCCGCCGAGATGCATAATCAGGCAGTCAAGTACGTGGAACCAGTACCTGTCCGAATCGATAGGAGCTGACCTTTTGTCAGTTCCTTGGCTCTAATCGCCGGACGGGCAACTATCGACTGCATCGATGTTCTGACTCAGCTGATTGCATCATATCTCTACGTCCTCTGCCAGGCTCTGGACCTGAGGGCGATGCACACCGAACTGGTGGCTGGACTGGACGCCATTGCTGCTGAAGAGTTTTCCGCCGTCTTCGGATCGTCCTTAAACGATGAGACCGCGAAGGACAGCGTTTGCCGTACTCTTCAGGCCGCTTTGGTGGAAACGAGCAACATGGATGCGGGTCAACGCGTTGTCAAGATCGCAGCAGCAAGCTCTGCTGTGCTGGTCGATGTCTGCTCGGCATCGCCCAACCCGGCTCGCTCGATGCCTCTCATCGCTCCTTTCCGCAGGAATGTCGCCAACCGCCTTGAGACGCTTCTGAATGAACTCAGACGTACATATCTCTTTGGTGACAAGGGCGCGAGTCCAGCCAGTGGCTTCCTAGACAAGACACGGCCTATCTACGAGTTTGTGCGGATCACGCTGGGGATCAAGATGCACGGCGCTGAAAACTTGGACTCGTTTGCTCATGGCCTGGGGGATACCGTTGGCCAGGGCGTCTCGCTTATATACGAAGTGGGTTTATTTGCGCGTCTCCCCCCCGCTCTTTTGCTGACACCCTCTGCAGGCGATCCGAGATGGCCAAATGCAGCCAGTCGTCGTCGGGCTGTTTGCATAAAAAGCAGGGTAATTGCTCATTATAATCTCCACATCAATGTAATCTATTATCATCCACGCTCGAGAACATTCCAGATCCAGAACACCTGGGAGTGAGCTATAAAATAAGTTGAGACCAGCTTTGTGACTCGATCTCCTGAAAACAAATCATGACTTCGTCTCGCAAAACAGTGATCATCGGCTCAGGCGTCTTCGGGCTCTCGACGGCATACCATTTGTTACAGAGAGGATGGTCGGACATCACTGTCATTGATCGGAGCGAGACTCTGCCGGCTCCCGACGGCGCGAGCAACGACATCAACAGGAGTTTGTCGATTCCCCCATCTCCAGATATATCGCAGGTTCAACTTGGCAGCTGTCTCTAGTCGTCCGCACCTCGTACTCGGATCCGTTTTACTGCGAGCTAGCCAAAGACGCAATCGCCGCCTGGAAGGACACTGAAGTGCGTCCGAACCATCCCAACGATGTCTTGTTCCATCACACTCAACCGCGTCCGCTTCAAAGCTTTGGTCCGACACCTATCATGAGTAAGTCCGCTCTTTACCTCTCCTAGTCTACTCCGCATCCCAACCGTGCTCAAGATCCGGTGTCCTGGTCGTCGGCTCCGCCGCGCGCGAGCGCGACTACGTCCGCAAGGCGCACGCGAACGACATCGCACACGGCCTACGCGTGACGCCGACCGACACGCCGGACGCTCTGCGTGCCGTCTTCCCGGAAGACGCCGACGTCGGCGATCTCGCGGGGCACTACACGTACTTCGGGCTGGACGGGGGATGGGCGAACGCCGGGCAGGGGGTGTCGCTCCTCATCGGCAAGGTGCGGGCGATGGGCGGCCGCGTTCTCGGCGGCAAGGATGTGGCGGGGCTGGTTCGGGAGGGCGGCAAGACGGTCGGGGTGCGGTGTAGAGACGGGAGCGTGTTGGATGCGTCGTTGGTTGTGCTGGCGACTGGGTCCTGGACGTGTTCCGCTTTCCCGGATACCGCTGTCAGCAAGCTGTTCCAGGCGACCGGGTGTGTGTTCAAGGTAAACTGTGTGATCGCATGGGCTGGCTAATGCTCGGTGCAGACAGGTTGTTGCGATGGTTCAACTCACTTCTGAAGAGGCTGAGGTCTACCGCAAATGCCCAGTTGTTTTGGACTTTGACTCTGGATTCTATGTCTTTCCCGTAAGGACAAGGATTGTGTCTGGACGGACTCTTTTGCTCAACGCGTTCCCCAGCCAAACGAGCAGAACATCCTGAAGATGGCCATCCATGCTGGTAGGGACTTTGTCGGCCCATCTGTACAAGGATTGAACCGTCCGCAGCCGGGTTCACTCATTCCATCGGAGACGGGGGGATATCGACCCCGCGGACCATCAAGTCCGACCCAGAGACCGGCCTGCGCATCCCGAAAGCGAGTGTGGTTCGACTGCGAGATGGGCTGCGGGCCGTGTATCCGACGCTTGCCACGAAGCCGTTCTGTGCGACGAGACTCTGCTGGTCTCTACCCCCTCGCTCGCTTTGTGTGCAGCCCTCTTATGCGTCTTCCTCAGGTATAATGACTCGGTGGACGAGGACTGGGCCATTGGATATCAGCCGGGATCTGAGCAGACCGTGATGATCGCGACGGCGGGCAGTGGTCACGCTTACAAGGTGGGTTTACTCGATACGTTCGTCCCGGTCTATCTCTAATCGCACCAGTTCCTTCCCGTCATCGGCCGTCTGGTCGCCGACGCCATCGAGAACAAACAGAGTCCCGAGGTAGCTGCCAAATTCGCACCCGATCGAGTCATCCCTTCCAAGCTGAATGGATCGCGCGACGACCAAGTACAAGAACTAGACCTGAGCCAACTTTGTTTGCCGGAAGATTTACAATAATGTATCCAGAGATTATGTGTATGTACATTGGAGCTGTTGAGCTCCTTTTCAGGCACGCTTGCCGACGAACTCCCGCCAGGACCGCACTTCGCTGGGTATCCGGCCCTCGGTATATTTGCGGAGACCGCCTTGCGGAATTTTCCGCGCCAGACTCTCAACGAAGAGGTCTGCGCATTGCGCATTGTTCAGCAACGGAAGCCCGAAATCGACCGCGTTTCTAGACAAAAAATCAGCGTAGCACAATGGCAGATGCAGGAAAGAAACGTACCGTCGGGCGACGTAGTCCTCGTCGGTGAAGCTTGTGCCGCGCGCCTGGGCCAAGTTGATGACACACGAGATGTCGTACTCGTCAAACACCTCCCGCAGCTTCCTCTTGTCCTGTTTCGGGAAAAAGATGCGCTTCGCGGCGACGTACTGGACGCTGTTGAGGAATTCCTCCACAACAGGCGACGAACAGTAGAGCTTGAAGCCCAGGTCAACCAGTCGCTTCGCCACACTCGCCATCTCTGGCTTGGAGATGTCACCGCCGATCAGCACACCAGATCCAGCCTTGGGGATCTTGAATCCAGTCGTGCTGAGCAGCGAGGCCCAGTACGCCTCGTAGATGTCCTTTCCAAAGCTGGCCACTTCGCCCGTACTGGCCATTTCTACAGCAACAGGTCAATGCTACCACGCGATACCGATAACGGAAGGACGCACCAACACCCAAGAATGGATCGGCACCGCCAAGTCGGGTCCAGGAGAACTGGGCAACCTTGATCGACGTGTAGTCCCGGGGCTCAAGCATGAGATCGACTGGCTCCGGCACGTCTTGTCCCACAATGGCCTTGGTGGCAGTGTCGATGAAGTTGTGGCCGAGGACCTTGGACACGAATGGGAAGGAGCGAGACGCGCGCAGGTTGCACTCGATGACCTTGAGCTGAGGCTCCTCGCCGGCTTCCGCCGGTTTCTTGATGATCTGCATGTTGTACGGCCCCGAGATCTCGAATGCCGCGGCGACCTTCTCAGCGATGGTCTTCAGTCGCGACATGTCTTCAGCCGACAGGGAGAACGGCGGGAGGACAAGTGTAGCGTCACCAGAATGCACACCCGCGTTCTCGACGTGCTCCGAAACGGCGTGGACCAGCAGCTTGCCTTGATGGGCGACGGCGTCTACATCGATCTCCTGGGCGTTGGCGATGAACTTGGTGATGACAACCGGGTGCAACGGCGACACGGAAGCGGCCGCAGACAGGTTGTATTCCAGCGCAGTCTCCTCGTAGACCACGTTCATGGCTGCACCAGATAACACGTAAGACGGCCGGACAAGGACAGGATATCTGCCGCCCGGTCAGCCAGAACGAACAAACAAGCCTGACGAGACCACGCACCCGACTTTAGCAGCGAACGACTTGGCCGCATCCAGAGTGGTAACCTCCGTCCATTCAGGCTGATCGACACCAATGCTGTCAAGGACGGAAGAGAACTTGTGGCGATCCTCGGCGGTGTCGATCTGCTTGGGATCCGTCCCGAGCACCTCGACGCCAGTGTCCTTCAGCCGAAGAGCGATATTCTGGGGCAGTTGACCTGGACACATGAGAATGAGCAAACGATCAGCGATGAAGATCCTCAGCAGCACGCACCTCCGACACTGACGATGACGCCCTGGCTCTGTTCCAGCTCGTAGATGTCCATGACCCGCTCATACCCAAGCTCCTCAAAGTACAGCCTGTCGGCCTCGTCAAAGTCGGTCGAGACCGTTTCGGGGTTGTAGTTGATCATAATCGTGCGCTTGCCCATGTCCCGCAGCTGGCGAGCGCAGGTGACCGCACACCAGTCGAACTCGACACTGCTGCCAATCCGGTACACACCGCTGCCAAGCACCATGGTCCCGTGCTCGTTGAACTCCACATCGTGCTCAGACGCGTTGTAGGTCGTGTACAGATAGTTGGTGTGCGCCGGGTATTCAGCCGCAAGCGTGTCGATCCGCTTCACGAAGGGTGTGATGCTCAGGGTCTTGCGCGCCGCGCGGACGATGTCCTCTGTGGACGAAACCAGGTCCGCGATCTGAGCGTCCGAGAAACCCATGCGCTTGGCCTGTTTCATGAGCTCGTGATCAATCTTCTCGATCGCACCCGCTGCTTTGAGCTGATGGTGGGTCTGCACGATATTGTCGATTTTGTAGAGGAACCACTGCGTTGAAGTCGATCAATGAGTTCCCCAAGAATACAATCTGAACGTACTTTGTCAATTTTGGTGAGGTCGTGAACCTGATCTACGGTGTAGTTCTTGTTGTACATCGCGTAAGCGATGGCAAACAGGCGCATGTCCGTCGGCCGAGTCAGGGCTTTATCGAGGTCTTCAGGCTCGATGTACACTTCGAAACCTTTCCAGCGCGGGTCAACCTGACGAATCGCCTTCTGGAGACTCTCTTCGAAGGTGCGTCCGATTGCCATGACCTCGCCGACGGATTTCATCGCCGAACCAACTTCCCGGTTGACTTGCGAGGAGAACTTGGCCAGATCCCACTTCGGAATCTTGGTGACGATGTAATCGAGAGAAGGCTCGAAGCAGGCAGTGGTCGTCTTGGTCACAGCGTTCGGCAATTCCGGGAGTGTGTGGCCGAGGGCGATCTTGGCGGCGGTATAAGCGAGAGGGTAACCCGTGGCTTTCGAGGCGAGAGCGCTAGACCGACTCAAACTGGGCAAGACGAGTCAGAAATGAGCTGCAGGTCACAAATGAGACGTGATCGTACCGAGCATTGACTTCGATGACACAGTATTCGCGAGACGTGGGATTGAGCGCGTACTGAATGTTGCATTCACCGATGACTCCCAAATGACGGATGACCTTGAGGGCGGCGCTCCGCAGCATATGATACTCGTCATCGGGTAACGTCTGAGACGGAGCGACGACAATAGAATCTCCGGTGTGCGTGCCAAGAGGGTCAAAGTTTTCCATGTTGCAGCAGATGATGGTGTTCTACTTGGCTTCAGAGGGGAATTCAAAAATCGTGTAAAACGTACATCAGCAGCATCCCGGACGACCTCGTACTCCAATTCTTTCCAGCCCTTCATACTGCGCTCAATCAGAACCTGGGGGCTCAGACTAAGACTCTTGGCAGCCAAATCACGGAGTTCGTCGGGGTTTTCAGCGAAGCCAGATCCAAGACCACCCAGAGTGAATGCAGAACGCAGAATGAGCGGGTATCCAATGGTCTCTGCAGCTGCGAGAGCCGCATTGACTGACGAAACGGCGGTAGACTGGGCAACGGGAATGTCAATTTCTGCAGTTGGGCTTAGCACTCGTCGAAAGCGGTGAGAAAATGGAGGAGAACGAACCCTTCAGTGCTTGTACGAATAGATCACGGTCCTCTGAGACTTCCAGCGTACGGATAGGTGTTCCCAAAACCTTGACACCAAGCCGTTCCAAGACACCCATCCGGTCAAGCTCAATGCCGACATTAAGCGCGCTTTGTCCACCGAAAGTAAGTAATACACCGTCAGGACGTTCCTTTTCCAAAACATATGCCACATAATCCGCGGTGATGGGGAGGAAATAAACTTCAGAAGCCAGTTGATGCGATGTTTGCCAGGTCGCGATATTGGGGTTAATGAGAACCGCCTGCACACCCTCTTCGCTCAGTGCCTTGAGAGCCTGAGACCCAGAGTAGTCGAATTCACCGGCCTGGCCGATACTCAAACCACCGCTGCCAACCACGACGACCTTCTGCACGTCAGGACGGGGGATTTTGGGAAGAACTTTAGCGGAAATGCGGCGCGCAAGCTCGGAGGGGGAGTTGATGACGTGTTCGCCGTCTTTGGGGGTGTAGGCACCGACCGCAGGAGCTGCAACAGCGCGAAGAGGTGTTGTGGGAGCGTGGAAAGCGCGTGCACATTGCCCTAATCGAAAGCGCGACTGGGAGCGGAGCAGCCCGACAGCTTTGGAAAGCATTATGGGCGACACTCGCCTCTCGTGGAAGGTAACGCGAAGAGTAGTCGGAAGAAAAGAGTGATTGAGCACAAAATACGCGAAACTCGAGTCAAAATTTTAGATCACATGATACAAAAGCTTGACGTCACTGCCAATGTTGTTATCTTATCTTTCAAGCCAAGGCTTTTGACTGCTTATTTGACCTTGTAAAGAAAACGAGAACGACCAACACGACATTCCCGATGACAATCTCATGGATATATTCGTAGTGCAAGTGCGTCTCATATGAGTCGGAGATGCCGAACAGTCAAGGCCAGACTTCAATCCGACTTCGGAGGAGGGATGAATATATTTTGACGATACCACTCCAATTCTAAACCCGGAGCATGAGCATAAGATCAGTAAGGATTGGTCGCCGACCTTTGATCGATCCCTTGATATCGTCCAATGCTCTGAGGAGTGGATTCATGCGTGTTCTCCAGGCCATCGCTTATAACAGGCATGACAGACCGATGATTGCTTTCACTCAGCTTTGAGAGTCCGAGCTGAGGATACCAACGTCTAGAAAGCTCCTGTTCGGATACTTGAGATAGCTTCCGTCATTATTGCAAGCACTCACCTTGATAGATGAAACGTCTTCACCCAGGGGAAGTGAGCCATCGTTCACGCGCTCCGGCAAATCACCTCACCGATGATACTGGGACTATTAAGCACTATATTATCGAAAAAACCCTTGGATTACCGATAATGCAGCCATTCAACGACGTCAGGCATGTGTTTTACCAAAAACGCTCTGTCGGCATGAACAGAGTTGCCTGCAAGTACGCCCACCCGTCTTTGCGGTATCCATTTCTTGATGTACTGTAGCACAGCGGCAGAGACGTGCTTGAGCGTGTGAGGTGACGCGATACAGGCGGCGGTGAGTCCGGACTGTGTCAATCAGCCTTGCAGGGTGAAGGACAATAGACCTGCGAACTTCGCCGTGTTGTTTGACACACCATTCGTTCATTCTGCCCTTGCATCGAAGTGAGAGAAACGGAGAGCAATGCGGAGAACGAACCCATCTAGGACCTATTCGAAAGCTCTCGCGTCTGTAGCTCCCATGCAAGGCTGGCTCACCGGCTTCTCGGTTTTGATGATGTACTCGATCCCTTCGTCCATCATGTTGAGTTTCCCGTCGGATATGATCACCTACAGCCCAAGGGAGAGTTGGGTTTCGGATGGTTTTACGGGTGAAGTAATAGCCGTACAGCGATTTCGAGAATCTTGTCCTGGTCAGGATCCAAGCCCGTCATTTCACAGTCGATCCAGACCATAGGCCCATCTTGGTATCCCAGTTGAGCACGGTTCATCGGTGGACGTCTAGTTTTATTGAACTCTCGATAAAAATGCAGGCGTTGAGGACGCGGCGTGAAGATCCTACCGCGTCGGAGCAGTGGTTGAAGGAGAAGCATTCACTTGATGATTGTTTGTATACGAGCAGCACTGCTTGGCAGACAGCCTCCAGTACAACGCTCATTGACATCATGGAGAGCGACCAACTTCGATCTCTTGGAAACACTCTCATGGATAGCTCTTTGTAGGTTGTGCTGCGCACTTCTCCTATCTTCTTATGAGTTCGCCTCCAAGGTCCTCGATCGAGGTTCTACCGGGTGGGATTGAGGAATGGGCCGGCGTCTCTTGGAACAAAGAATCTCGAATGTCTCCTGAATTCCCCTTCGTGTGTCGAGACGGCAATCTAGGCGTTCCAAACAAGGTGTTGATGCGGCTTTACATGCTCGCGTCGCGCTCTCTCAACAATGGCCAAGCACCACTAGAATCAGTGTCTCAGATCGCATTCACCAGTGCTATCCTTCTGGCCAATCCCGCTCACCAGACGGCTCTTAATCTCCGTAAACGTCTCATCATGATGGGAACGCTGGGGATCGAGGAGGAGATGTGCTTCACCCACAAGTTGTTATCCAGCTCCCGGACTTGCGCCAAAGAGTCCATCCTCTGGGCGCACAGACGTTGGCTAATCGAACGGCTATACCCACCTTCCGACTCGTCTTCGCCAATTCTCCCATCCGATATCAGTTGCGAGTTACAACTGATTCTACGATGCTGCGAGCTCTATCCTCGCAATTATCACGCATGGACACATTTCCATTTCGTCTTCCACTGCATCTTTATGTCTATGGAGAGGGAAAATGGGGTGGGCCCATATTCTGTCTCATTAGTGGAGCACCTGCAAATCTTGCGACACTGGATAGAAGCACACGTGTCAGACCATTCCGCGATTCATCAATTCTGCAACGCAGCATCGATTCTATGCTCTCTCAAAGACATTGATTGCTGCGATATACCCGGCTTGCAGGACTTGCTCACCCCCGGTTGGCATCTTGACCATGTCGCGGCTCTGCTTGGTGATTACCCCTCACACGAGTCACTGTGGTTGTATCTTCGCGGTATCGTGGCTTTAGAACCCAAATCACTCACACCCTTGGCGATATCTGCAACTGAAAACATGGACGGAGAATTTAGGACACGGTTCTTGGCATGGTTGCGCAGGATGTGATGACGAGATAGTGCTGAGTACACATCACTGACGTTAGTAACGTGACCGCGCGGCTACGTGTAAAGCACACCCTTGATCTCATTTCTCATTTCCCTGCTCGTCTTCGGATGGTTTAAAAGCTTTGCTTTCGAATTGCTGTCTGTTTCTTATCATGTCGAACCGCACACGACTCTCCGGTTCCGGATGTATCATTTGGCTCACCATCGGGTTGATTGCTCTCGCTGCGGTCGCCTGCGCACAGAATGACAGGTTGGACTCCACAACGGGAGTGGGTACATTTACAATGGAAGTTCGGCTTGAGCTCATACTCAGCAGAAACCTCCGAATGATGTATCACTTAAGGAGAAAATTGTGAGTAACTTTGAACGGACGCAACATCTCCATGCCTTGAACTTGGTTCCACAGGCCAAAGCCGACCTTGAACAGGCGGCGGAAGGTGATTTTCTTTCGTGTGAAATAGGATGGAATCCCGTCTGAGCTATACTTTGCAGCCTCGCGTGCCTATCGACAGGCAATGCAAACATTATCCACATTGACTGCACATCCTCCGTCTCACACTTACGGTTCTGGTCCACAAAGCTCCAAATCACCCTTCTCGTCGTTGTTTCCCAGCCTCCAGGGACAGGGGCCCCTGGGAAGCGCGACACGCATCATTCTCAAGCTGCAGCGTCAAGTTGTTGGTGGCGTTCTGGTTGCACTAGGGAAGGAATCGAAGTCCAAGCGTGAAGAGGGGAAAGGAAAAGCTATTAAGGTGGTAGACTTGCTCCAGCATTCTGCTGAGTTGGGGAACGCAGATGCTTTGTATACCCTGGGGCATGTTTCTCTGGTGAGTTAACCCTGTGTCGCGCATTCCATTCTAACTGTGGCGTAATTAGTTTCCTCCTTCCAATCACTTTCCTTCCGACCCTCAACTCGCCTACGATTCCTTCGCGGCACACGCGTCCATAACAGGCAATGCGTCGTCTCAAGCATATCTGGCCTTCTTTCACGCCAGTGGCTACAAGCAAATCGTTCCTGTGGACCAAGCAAGAGCACAACTATACTACACATTTGCGGCCAATGGTGGAGACAAAGGGGCGCAGATGGCACTGGCATATCGGTACTGGAGCGGGATCGGCACTCTAGAAAACTGCAATCGCGCAGTGGACTGGTATGCGCGCGCGGCGGATCAAGGTGCGTATCTTATACGCAAACTCGGCGTGTCTTGACGTCCCTCGACAGCCATGGAGACCTTCAAAGCCGGACCTGTTGGTGGACGAACACTGCCTCGAACTCATACCAGACTGTCTGATCTTGAGGGTGGTGTCTATGGTCCTGGTGCCAGTGTAGCCTCGACGGGTCTAAACGCTCAGAAACCTGCCATTCGCGCAGGTTTGTCTCGTGCTTCGGGTGAAACATGGGAAGATATTCTGGACTACTACTTGGTAAGTTCATGTGTATGTGCTGAGTATCGGCCCTGACTGTCGCAGTTCAATGCGGATAGACGCGAATTAGACTTCGCATATCGCCTGGGCAAAATCTTCTACCACGGCAGCATCTATCAATCTCGTGGTGGTATCGGCTCTGGGAGCGAGGGCGTTGGTGCTGTTCCACGTGACTTCGAGCGCGCCCGACACTACTTTATATCCATTGCTCGAATGGTCTGGTCGCGTGATCCGACGAATCCCCTTCAGTACACACCGATACCAATCAAGGACGAAAAACTGCCCCTGGGACTCGCTGCACCTAGTGCTTGCTTCCTTGGACGGATGTTCCTTCGAGGTGAAGGTGTGAAGGCCGATCCTGCGTTGGCCAAAATGTGGTTCGAACGGGGCGCTGAGCATGGCGAACGAGAATGTCAAAACGGACTCGGTATCATTTGGCGGGACGGACTTATTCCGTCCATAAAACCAGATCTGAAGAAGGCCATGGCATATTTTCAAGCTGCTGCAGGTCAAGAGTTGGCCGAGGCTCAGGTTAGCGTTGCCAAGCATCACTTTGGTGAGTATTCGTGTCTTGTCTGGTCTGCTCTGTCCCTCATCAATCTCTCCAGCTCGAGGCGAGATCAACTTTGCCGTCACCTTGTTTGAGACCGCCGTACTATACGGTTCACCTTTCGAAGCATACTACTATCTGGGCCAAATCCACTCTGTGCAAGCGACTAATTCAGCCATCCCTCCAGCAATCGCATCTGGGTCCTGCGCGATGGCTGTTTCGTTCTACAAACTAGTGGCCGAGCGGGGTGTCTGGGGTGACGATCTTCTGGAAGATGCCGAGACGGCTTGGACGACCGAAACGGATCGAGGCAAGGAAATGGCTATGCTCAAGTGGTGGATTGCTGCAGAGCGGGGGTCTGAAATCGCTCAGAACAATCTTGCTCATGTCTTGGATCAAGGTGCGCCTCGTCGTGCTTGTCTCAGTGAGTAGAAGATTCATTATACACGTAGACCGAAGTATCCTGCGCCTGACTCGTTTTTCGCCGAACACACCTTCAAACGAGACTGCTCGACTGGCGCTGTCTCAATGGACTAGAGCTGCTGCCCAGCGGAACATCGATGCACTAGTTAAAGTCGGGGACTACTACTACCACGGCCTGGGTGTCTGGGAGCAGACTGAAGCAGCTCGTTTCGAGAAGGCTGTCAAGTACTACCAATCGGCAGCCGATACCCAACAGAGTGCGTTGGCCATGTGGAATCTGGGCTGGATGTACGAAAACGGTGTCGGGGTTCCTCGAGTGAGTGTGCGCTCTTGTGTCCAGTGTTGTTTATAGACCTGTGTCAGGACTTCCACCTGGCAAAGCGTCATTATGATATGGCACTCGAAACTAATTCCGAAGCCGCATTCCCCGTCTACCTCTCCCTGATCAAACTGTATCTGCGCAGTTTCTGGCATAGTTTGATGGGGGGTCAAGGCGGTCTGAGCATCTGGTCTTCCGACGAAGATTCAGACCGTTCGGGTCAGTACATTTTTTACCCAAAGCTGACGAGTGCTGATGAGTGTAGTCAAAGCGCCTGTCCAGCAGGTCCCTGCTATCGACGATCATGCTCCTCCTGCAGAACAGGAACGAAAATATGTCGAAGAAGACGATGGGCCCTGGTACATGGGCAAGGCCAAAGATGAGTTTCTGCGCAGATCCAAGGAGCCATCAGAGGATGAGGATCCAATCCAGGTGCGCAGATTCGGTCGCTTTCGAATCTTTCTGATTCAGTCCCAGTGGGCGCGAGACCGACGGAATGAGCAAGAGAGGGAAAGAGAAAGAGATAGTGAATTCCCATCAGATGATTTCACCGCTCGACGAGGAGATGACGATGGTCAAGAGTACGAGAGTGAGGATTTTTCGGACACCATCCTGCTCATGCTCCTGTGTCTGGCTGTGGCCGTGCTTGTCTATGTGAGAACGCGAATCGTAGATCGGATGCGGAGAGACCAACAGCCCCAGCCGGCAAACAATGCTCCCGCGCCCGGGATGTTCCCTCCTCCGGGTCCAGAACAGGACAACTGGGCCGTACTACGATGAGAGCTATCATCAATGCATTGTATCATTAGTCCTATCACTCCAACGGTCGTGTACCCTTAGAAACAGTACTTATATCTGGCGGATAATCTGGAACGTTGGAGTCAACGACCGAAGTGGCGGCCCGACATAGCGAATGTCCCACGCTTCCCCCTTTAGGCCTAAAGTGACGCTCTCACGTGCCAAGCATCCGTTCCTCCTCAAACACTGAAACACTACTTTCATCGCCAGCAACTCCTTCGTGGCATATCTATTCTTTGAAAGTGCCACTATGTCCTACGATTTTGAGGGCCTGGAGCCCCTTATCGAAGAAATTCTCTCTGCCCCCGGCACGGACCTCGCGACTATCAGTGCAAAACGCGTCAGGAAGCAGCTCCAGGTCCTGGACCCCGCTATCACGGAGGAGTTCCTCAAGGAGAACCGGAAGGCAATAGACAATGTCATCTCTCGCGTGTTCGGCCAAAAGTTCAGCGCGGACAGCCCTAAATCCGAGCCCGACGAGACCGAGGTGCAGTCTGGCCCGAGCTCGCGCAAGAGGCGCCAAAGCGAGGATGCCGATGTCGGGGACGAGGAGGAAGAGACGGACGACAATCCGGACGCGGAAGAAACTCGGCAGCCTCCCGCGAAGAAGGCTAAGAAACTCGCGAAGCAGGAGATGAGCGACGCGGAATTGGCGCGCCAGTTGTCGAGCGAGATCAACGGCAGAGCAAGACGTACCGGGAGCAAACCGAAAGCGACGTCGGGCACATCACCGAAGAAGCGGAAGACGAAGACGAAGACGAAGAGCGCGGAACGGGTGGTGGATTCCGAGGACGAGAGCGACGAGACGCAAACGAAACGTCCATCGAAGCGGAAGTCTAGTGAAGGAGGCGGTGCGAAAGGAGGGTTCGCAAAGCTGTATCTGCTGAGGTGAGCTTAGTTGCGCGTCCGAAAGCACGCGTTTTACATCATGTTGCAGTGAGCCGTTGGCCGCCGTGCTGGGAGTCCCGTCGCTCTCTCGTCCACAAGTTGTCAAGCAACTGTGGGTGTACATCAAATCGAACGAACTGGTTTGTGCAATCCGAAGCTTAGACGCGAGGATCTCATTGGTTCCAGCAAAATCCAAAAAACAAACGAGAAATCTTATGCGATGGCGCGCTGCGTGCCGTGTTTAACGCGGATAAGATTGACATGTTCAAGATGAACAAAGTTCTGGGGCAGTGAGTGCGCGTCGAGCGGTCACGTGTGTCGGCTGATATTCTGTGCCAGGCATCTGCACGAGAGCGAATAGCATTTGTATCTAATCTGAATGCAACAGTTGCACAGAAAAACAAAAGTTCTGAAATCGTCCTTCCCTCAAGTCTGACTTGGGAGTCTGCCGAAATCCTCGCGCCTGAAGCCAGTTCTTTTGTTGCATGCTGACCGAGTTTTATGACGCGCTAGAGCGTCGGCCCACGACAGTTTTTTGTTGCAGATGGAGCACACCCAAACTTTGCTAGTTTTGTTTGCATCCGCCACGTGCCGCCTCATGGTGCTCTTACGTTTGAAGACAAAGTTTCAGCCGGAGATGGTGCAAGGGTGCCCATTTCCCCCGGCTTCCGCTGGCCACTTCGGCTTCGGCTCGACCGCCCTTGGGACGGGGATGAAAGCCGCCGAGCCTGAGAAAGCTCCGCTCTCAGAAGAACTCGGTGGAGCGTCGTGTCAGAGCACGAGCTGAGAGAGCTCTATGAATCTATTGATACTCCAGAGCTGGGCGGTATTGGCGCCGCTCTCTGTGGCGCCTATACTCCAGCGCATGGACCAGTGACGACGACTCTGGCAAGGCTGCGCCAATCCGTATAATCAGAATCTCGATCTTGTCGAGGAATTGAGTCTCCTACAGCAGTTACGCCCACTCGAAACCTCAGCTACAGTCCTGCTCGTCGTAGTCTGTTGGTTCGAGTAATCTCTTTGAAAGACATTCCTGCGTTGGATGGGGTGATGACGTTAGATGAGTGAGAGATTGAAGCGTTCGACGTGCGATCTCACCACGCCTCTCCCGGACGCCTTGGTCTCGGCTTGTTCTCCTGTTACATGCACGTGCGTAGTCACAGATGTCCTCGATACGGGCTCTCGATGAGTGAGCCACAGAGTCCGGGACTTGACATCTTCCGGATACTGGTCTCGACATCGTTATTCAACTTCCAAAGTGACATATTTTAGCGCGGAAAATGATCAGATCGAGTCCATAACAAGGGCCCAGCCACCTAAATCGTCTCGCCCCCAGCAATAGGGGTGATCTTACGCTCCTAGTCCATCTTGAGTAGCCGCGGGACGCTGTGGGAGAGAGCGGGCGATACCTGTGGGTCCACCATCAGTCTCGTGTGCTGTCTGCCTCCATGATTGATCTCACGTAACGCGCAGATCTCCCAGCGGTGTTCTGTGATTTCTGGGAGTCTGCGATGCCCGGAGTCTCCCAAAACCTGGTGCCGGTACCGCCAGATGTGCCTGGTCGATACGACGAGGTGCGTTGCTCCATGATAACGATACCTTGAACCTTTGTCAATACATGCAGCGACAGAGTTCAGCAACAAGAAAGACCCTCTGGAGCGCTGTGCCTAGGCCGATGTGGTAGGAGAAGGCATATCCTAATCACGGTCGTAGGTCGATACTACTAGGCGACGGCCGATCGCACATTCATCTGGTCAACTAACCTCCGGCAACAAGCATACATGCACCAGGAACTGCTCCGTCTGTACTCTGGTAGCAGTTTCAGCCTCTCTGGGGCCATGTAAGAACTCAAGGTCTGGTGGTGGACTTCAGTCATTCAGCGGCGCTCGATGGCGTGGCGTGGACCGCGCGTGACATCCGAAAAGCTGCAGCTTTCGTACGAATCAAATACGAAAGCCTGGCCGACGCGGGGATCCTTGCGCAGACCGAAACAATGGGCTGCCCAGCTCCTTCTCACGGACGGCCGACGGTTACCGTTTTGAGCCACAAAGTGTCCCTGGTGACCTCAATCCGCCTAGTTCAAGGAGCGCTTTCCCTTGCATCTCCCATCCATGAATTTCCCCTTCGCCAGGTTGCCCTTGGAGCTGATCCTGGAAGTCGTCCGGATCGGTGCTTCACCCGGCTGTTCCATTGCGTTGCACCATCCGTCGTATGCCACTGCGATTTCTCTGGCCTCGACATCGTCTATGCTGCGCTCTATCGCGATGCCGCATCTCCTACGCACGGTAGTGCTCTGCACGACCGACCACGTCATTGCGTTCATAGATTCTATCGTGCTGCAGAGAAAACTACTCGCAATGAAGCCGGCTTCCCGCTTGGCGCTCGAGTATCCACGGCTGGTGCGTCGGTTCTGGTGCACAGAGTGCGCGGAGCGGCACCCCTTCTCTGCGGGCTTTGATCTGGACTACGGCGCTCTGTACTCAGTTCTGCGCAATCTCGATTGCCTGGGACTCGACTTCCGAGCGATGCATCTCCTGTATAACAGTCTCGCGAGTCCAGGCGCCGATCCTCAGTATGACTGGCTCTGCCGGCGTGTCGTCTTTGCTGGCAAGCACCCGCGATGGAATCCACTGAAGATGTCTGCGGGTGGAACTCACTTCTTTTCGCATATAACCCACATATCGTTATGGATACACGACGCTGCCGACTTGTCCGCCACAAACTCGATCCCTACTTGGCTCCAAGATGTCCCTCTCACAGCTATGCCGAAACTGACTCATATGGCCGTTCTCCTGGACAGCGCCTCCGATCCCGAGTGCAGTCCGGGCAGTGTATTGGTGTGTTCCAGAGACAGCACCGGCAGACCGAGTTTTCAGTCGCAGCAAGATCTCCTCGCTCTCTACCCCGTTCACGACATGACAGTGAAGCCGCGCGCCAGCGCTGCAGGGGACTCGGGATGGGAGTTTTCATTCATGCGTGGTGAAGACGAGGTCTGTTGGACGTGCATTGAGTGACAAATGGAAGCGTTGCATCTTGAGTAGGTGCGGTGTATATACCTCAATTGAGATTCTGAAGCTTCATCCACTCGTTATCGTTAGCGTTGAAATTCACGCCTTTACTTCGCCACCAGTCGCGAGCAGCTTCGCCTCCTCCAATTGCATCCTCGAGAGCTGATAGGACGTCAATAGGATAGAGATCTGGACTGCATGGGCACGGCGTACCTTCTTCGATATCACAAAGCCTGTATTGAAGCGGCAATCGAGATCTGTCCCACCACTCTAGCACCTATTCCACACCATGTAAGTAAGCGGAGGGTCAAAATGGTATCCACAAGCTTTCCTCTGGCCGGTTATGCCTCGTTGCACCGATCAAAGCATCCGTATCGAATATAAGCTGAATGCCGCTGTTCAGCCACCAATCCAGCACGTCGACCTGGCAATGCTGAGTGGGATGGAGTGCGAAGTAGCATGACGCACCTTGCCGTGACACGATGCGTTGTGAAGGGCTTGTGAGATAGATGTCGGAGATGGCAGAAGATCCGCATGTCGCTCCATCCCATGTTTCCACCAGGACAGCACCTCGAGGCGCCCGTGCAACGAGGCTTTGATCGGTATACAGTCGTTTTTGTAGATCTTTTTGAATATGGCGTTGTCCGCCAGGCGAAGCGACTCGACCAGGAAGTACTCGAGCACATGGACGTAGCCGAAGCGTATGCAGAGGTCTGCCCCGATGGTCGGCAGATGCGTCACAGGATCTGCGGCTCGGATGAGCGCCAGAGAGCCCGTGAGCATGGCTAGATCCACGGGGGAGGCAAGAGACCACGCGGAAGGACGCGGGAGCGAGGTGGGCACGCCGACGGCGCGAGCCAGTTCCCAGTCCCCGACGTGATCCATGATGTCCGCCACGATTTCAATGGGCAGGTCGGGGGCTAGTACACGGGGTTTTGAAGGGGGAGGGGTAGGTGCAGGGGAAACGGGCGACTTGGGAACGTGTATTGCAGGCGGCGTGCACGAAATCGTGGTGCTGTCCTGCACAAGGGTGAGAAGAGCGATGGAAGCAGAAACATAGGGAGAGAGAAATGCACCCGCAGTAGAGCATTCTCCATCTCCAATTCCGCAATGCGGGTGCGTAGGGCACAGTTTTCGTCTCTCAATCGCGCAAGCTCAGATTTTCCTTCATTGCGGGAGAGGCGGATTTCTGTACGACTGGGGCTGCTCAGATCGAGGTACTGGGATACTGCCAGTGCGAGCCCCGAAGCATCTTCCGAGTGCCAGGCCTGTGTCAAGGATCGAAGTCTTGGGTGCATTCACAGGTTGTAGCAGAAAGTAAGGTCGTGTTGTTGACATCAACACGCTGATCCGGGAGTGTTATATGGAACCCACGGGCACTAGAACGAACCGAGTTCGAACTGGGCTCTACATACAAGACATCGCGTCATAAAATTCATCACCCAGGTAAATGTAACATTACAAAGTGCTATACGGCTACACCTCTTTGACGGGCACTTTCGCATCGAGGGTCCCGGTTGCAAGCCGGTTGAGTTCGTCCTCGCGAGCATCGATGCTGCGGATGTGCAACCAGAAGAGCGCTCCAGCCACGGTGGCGATGACACCCATCGAGCCGTAGTTCCAGACAAGCAGAGGGTCGGTCGAGATCGCCACAAACGCTTCTCCGATCGCTGCAGAGATGGCGGAAGTGAAAAGGAAGACAGACATGACGAGAGAGCGCATGTTCCTCGGAGCCTTGGTGAAGGCATACTCGAGACCAGTGATAGACGCGAGAATTTCCGAGAAAGCGACCAGCACGTACGATCCGGTTTGAATCCACACGTTGAGCGGTGCGGGGATGACATTTCCGTCAGCATCCGCACAAGTCGTAGCGTTATAACCACAAGGAGAACGCTGTGGGGACTGTGAGCACACTCCACTGATTCGTTTACGCTACCACGTACCTTGTAGATGTAGTGCTGGACAACGGCAGCCCAAGCCATAGCCGCAGCACCAGTGAAAAAGCCGGCGGTAACCTTCTTCAGAGCCGTGAAGTTGAAGCCGGCCCGCTGGAGAGCGGGGTAGATCTGGGTTCCGGTTAGAATCGAGGACGATACCGAGGATGGAGACAACGCACCACACGATCACAAATGGGAATAAAGATGATGAGCGCGAGCGGGTCCAAATTGGACAAGACGTCGTTCGGGAGGCCATGGGTGTTCATGGATCCGGCTTGCGAAGTCAAATTGTTGTTCAACTGGTTGTAGGTCAACCCTGCGCAACCAGAATTAGAAAAGTCCTCAGCGGAGCCAGAATGAAGCTTACAGTAAATTGGATACCACAGGAACACCCAGCACGCTTTAATTCCTCGAGAAACCTCGTCGACCCACTTGTCGTCGAATGTCATCCAGGCCGGCCGCGACTCAACGGCAACGTTGCTTGGCTTGACGCTTTCCCAGAAGTTAGGGCTGGTCAAGTTCTTCCAGGTGGCAATGGGGCTGGCGGAGAACTTGCCCTTGGCAGCGAAAGCAAACATTTTCATGAAGGTGGCGAGGATAGAACCTGTCGGGGGAGAGTGGCGGTACTTGTGCCGGGCGCCCAGAAGAATGATTGGGCAGAACAAGAAGATAACCGTGGGGAGAGTGAACGACAGCCAGAAACCGACGTACTGTTCGAAGCGATCAGTGGGCAACGGGTGAACGCAAAGAGGATACGTGCCTTCTCTGAATAGGCCATAGTGATCTGACCAACAAGGGCGCCTACGTTGATGAACAGGTAGAAGTACATGTACATCCGGGACACAGTCATCGTCGGGTCGCAGATAACGCGCTCTCCACCGGAGGTGGTCACAACGAACGGCTTGGTGCGGCGGTACTGCTCAGCAACCAACGGAGAGATGTTTGCCTTGAAGAGACCAGTTCCGAGGCCTGTCACAATCTGAGAGAGAATGAAGACGCCAAAGGCCGAATTCGGGTGTTCCAGGACGGTGGGCACAGCGGATATGATCATGATGATATGTCCGAGCAGAGCGATGAAGACTGCCACAAGAATGGTCTTGTAACGGCCCCAATGAGCGTCGGCGATATACGCTCCCAAGAGAGGGGTAATATAACACCTGAAAAGATTCGGAAAGAGATCATTCGAATTCGATCAAGACTGACCAGAACTGGTAGAATGTACCAATACCGGTCGAAGTTTGCTGCCCCTTGCCCAAGGCCCCAGATTGGCCATGTGGTCCGCCAGCACCAGTCCGAGAGTCCTTGGGCAGTTTGTGCTGGATGAAGTTGGTGAAGACGACACTAGCTCCGTAGAATGAGAACCGCTCAGCGCCCTCCACAGCGGCGATGACTGAGAAGTGTATTCAGAAAGATACGACTGCAAATAGCGATACAAACGTACGGTAAGCGCTCCAAGGCATGGTGTCAGCAACACGACGCAGCGTGGCCAGCTCCTCCTCGGTCGGAAAGACCAGGCCAGCATGAGGGTCGTCTTTGGGATCAACGTATTCCTCCTCCGGCTCGCTATATGATGCCTTCTCGTCATATGCACGTTTGTGGCCGACAGCCTCAGCCTCGGCAGCGATGACACCTACGTCGGATTGCAGTCCTGCCATTGGTCTGTGCTTGGGAGAGGAGGGAGAGAGAAGCTCCAGGGTCGAAGGACAGTAGCATCATGCGAAAAAGAAGGGCTATATAGGCACCAAGTCCGACTCCCCAGACACTAATCGCTTGTTCGTTCTTCCCGTTGAACTAGTCAAATCTCCAGATCTGCGAGAGCGCTATGATTGCGAGAGATTGCGAGGATGATCTCTGATGGATTGAGGACTATTGAGGAGGACCACGGTCGTGTGCCAGTGTCAGTCACCATGTGGAAACGGAATCTTCATTCTTGGCGCGTTAGTGATAAGTATGCTTCGATATGTCACCCGTAAGCGATATTTGCACAGATAGCGCCAGAGAGATGGGGAGAAATGATTTTGATAGCGAAGACAAAGAGGCATACTAGGGCATACTTATATCAACAGTGGTGAGAGCGAGCAAGAGAGGTGCGGTCGCGCAGGGTCACACTGTGACGTTGACCTTGATTCGCATAATCCACCATCTCAGCAACGAATCCCGCGGCTCATTCGAATATGTTGTCTATCAAGTTCAATTGCAATCAAAATTTCTTCGCTCCTCTGTAATACTTATCTCTTAGCAGAAAAGAAGCCGTCTCTTATCACAGTACAAGTTGAAAGGGGATACCTAAGTCGTAGTTTGTGATTGAATCAGTGGTGCCCCTTGTCATTGGATAATTCGACGGCGCACCGATATATCCCAAAAATTTGTTGGTGTTAACCTCCCTCACGGGATCCACAGGCAAATCGTATTCCTGCACCAGTTTCTGCATATTTTCCGCGTCATACGACAGCAGAGACCTTATGTTCGCGGGGAACAGACTGCCCTTCGATCCATCAGCCCGCAGAATCACGGACAGTTCCTCGTCGAGATTCTGGATCCTGAGCAAAGAGTTCTTCTTTCTTGCATCTCTGCAACATTGCATCAGGAACGAGCTGATCGCTCTGTACTACGCGAGAGCCCACGAGTTGTTCAGAGATGTTCTTGCGTCCTGGACTTGCGACTGATTCACGGAAGATTGCTGCTTCAAACTGATGGGTATTTGCTCCTGGATCTGGATATCGACCTGCTGTCTAACTTGACTCCGGACGGCCTCTTTGATGAACTCGAGGAGATCCTCCCTGAGTGCGTTTCAGTGATAAGCCGCGGTTACGATAAAAACATCCGCACTGCAAGCTGGCGTAGGCCTGCTTCTTCACTTCCTCGCGCGCAAACTTGTCCAATCTGTGTATTTCCTGCTCCATTGAAGCGTGCGAATCTCTGACTTGGCTGCGCAAGATGTTCACGTCTTGCTCAATGTCATACTGCCCAAAAGCGAATGGGATCGTGTCGAAACCAACTAAACTGGAACATACAACTTACGGTGGTAGGACCAGAGACCTGCACATTTGCTGTACTGTCATGAAGTCTCTTGAACGACTCTTGTCTGCAACACCGCATCTGCATTGAGCATCTCACAAAGACCGCAACCGGGCCCATGAGTTACACGTGGTCCAGATCAATGTTCATGGCTCCTATAGCCGCTCGCACGTCTTGAGTCGCACTTGTGGGCGCGCTGCCAATATGCGAAGCGTTTGCGGTCATGCTGGTCAGACGAAGGTGTTGTTAGACACGAGGCTTCCGCGTGTGACTGTCCCAGGAGCCTAAATAGCCTCTTGATGGTCTAGGCAATTGGCCACGATGTATATAATATACTCATCTCATCGCCACCGATCCCGTGATCGTTCTCCAGCCTTTACACTCATGTTCCTATTACGCGTCTTCAAGATCTGCTCTGCTCTCTATCTCTTTGCCGCTGTACTCCACACCACAAGTCAGCTTTTCTCATCGCCTGTGCACGCTGGCATATCTTTGCTCGCCAAATGTCGCTTTCCTAGTCTGGTCGCTTCTTCCTTTCAGTCCCTCCTAGTGAAACGAACGGCTTCAAAGAACATCCAATTCGTCCCGCAAGATCAAATTTCCCTCCAATCTCGTACAAGTCAAGAAATCGTCCTCTGGACGTCTTCGCCCTTCGCGTTAGAGAATGGTCTTGGCCATTCAGACCCCATCCCCATGAGCGAAGACTTGTTCTTGTCTAAAGCGTTCTCCTCTCTACGACCGAGCAAAATTATACCCTTCTTCTACCGTAGGACAGGCTCTTTCGAAGCGGATGATATCACGATAACTACGTTGGTAACGAGCAACAGGCTGCAGGTGTTCGCTCGTTTGGTGGAGCGATATTCTGGTGTGTCCGTGTGCTAAAACGTGTTATTTCGCTCAAATACTCTCGAGGGCCGATTTCTGTCACTATCCACATCAAAAACTCGTCAGAAAACGTTTACGAGCTCTTGGATTCGATCCATTCGGTGTATACTTCGACTCCCAAGATGTCGAGCAATGTCGATGTTCATCTCGTCGTCGACGGTTTGTTGCAGTGCTTTTTGCTCAATGACTGCGTTTATCTCACCCTTACAAGCCTTCGACCGGCAGTTCAACACCTGGCGTAACATCGCGCGATTCTTCGCGCGTACAGACTTCGTCATGATGCTTGATATCGACTTCTCTCCCTGTACCGACTTTCGTTCAGCAATCCGCAGTAGTTCGGCCATGATGGAGAAGCTTCGAACTGGAACTGCAGCGTTTGTGGTGCCTGCGTTCGAGTATCCCAAGCATGAAGACGGGATCGACGCCGCAAGATTTCCGCAGACCAAGACTGAGCTTATTGCGCAAGTAGACTCTGGCAAGATCACTGTTTTCCATGCTTTCTGGGGCCCCGGTCATAGCTCTACCCACTACGAGCGCTACTACGCATCTTCACCTGGCGAAGTCTATCGAGTGGACTCGTACCAAGCTGCGTACGAACCCTATGTCATTTTCAAGAAGGATGGACCTCCTTGGCAAGCTCATATATTTGTCGGGACTTGGCTCTGACCCACGTCCAGGTGCGACGAACGTTTTGTCGGATACGGCGGTAACAAAGCAGCCTGTTTGTTCGAGATGTATCTGTCCGGAATCTCCCTCTATGTGCTTTCGGATCACTTTCTGGTCCACCAAAACCATTTATACGAAGAGACAGCCCGACGAGCTGAGGTAAGTTTTCTTTTCTCGCCGTGGGTGGATAGTTGCTCAACTTGCTGACTAGCGCAAGTTCAACCGCAAAATTTACTCCGATTTCAGAGAAGAAGCTTGTTTGCGGTGGGTTGCTTCAATTTTGCTTTAAGATTTCGTTCCAACTGTAGCATGGCAGATATCTGACGGCATTTCGCGACAACAGTCAGCTCAACACCGATCGAGCGAGTAATGCTCGTAATGAATGCAGCAAAATCCGGAGCATTGCACGCTTTATGGCTCAGGTCAGCAGCTAGATCAATTCTGTTGCCTATGTACATGTTACCGACGACCAACAGCTTAACGATGGGTGACTTGTCCACAACTTCCTGTTCAAATTATCTGTAGAGGATGTGCGTCACTTTGACTGACGAGAACTTCAACATCAGTAGCATCCGTCTTGAGCTCAGAAGTCAATCGGTTTGCCAAAATGGGAAGGAAACCGCGTTCGGTGTTGGTGTGCCCGCCTAAGAGAGATGAGAAACCAAAAACCAAACGGAAAGCAGCGCACAAAGGATGACATGGGTTCCGCTCCCGAGTGCCGCAAGGACCTGATCCTGCAAAAGTTCAGCAAGCAGAATTGGACAGATTACAGACCCACGAACATGCTGCATCTCCCCCGTGAAATAGACATCCGCAATTGTCTTCAGACTCTGGAACATACCTCCGCCTGATCCAGCACAGATGGCAACAGTGTGAACGAGGCGATCGGGCTTGATTTTCGAGTATCCGACTTGAACTAAATTCAATGCTTGTCAGCTCAGAGGAAAGGAAGGTTGTTCGTCTCGAACTTACTCTGAGAAAGACTCAGATGTTTCTTGATTCGCTCCTCCAAAACGCTCATGGAGATTGGGGGGTCGAAAGTAACACGGCGGCCATCGCCACCGATGGCTGCAGTCGACGGCTTGGTGTCGAGACACGACACCCGTTGGGGGTCTGCTTCGATGCACTTGGCTAGCCAGTCATTCATCCCATCGAAAACACTGTCAAGTGCGCTATGGGGAGAGTAGATCGAAATGCCAGCACTGGCACATCGAAGAAGCGTTTTATGTAAGGGAGTCGACAGAGTCAGAGACTTGAGTGCGTGGAATATGGGCGGGTGATAGGACACTATCATTGAAACGTTATGGAAGATCGCTTCTTCACAGACGGCAGGTGTGACGCTAGATAACGGGGGACTTCTCAGCAGGGATATCATGCATATTTATGAAACATTTACTCGATGGTCAGAAGGACTTTGTTGCTGTTGCTTGCGGTCGCCGATTCTATGGGCTTTCAGATGCACTTCCTCCGTTAAAAAAGGATTTCAACCGAGTATGAGCCCAACCTAATTTCAATCAGCATAAACCAAGCGCTCGTTACGTCAATACAACAGACATTGTCCCAGGACCCAGCCAAGACGAGGGGTGCGATGCGCTGCATGGCGGAGGTCACAGATTTGGTAAAGGCTGTGGTCGCCATCTTGTGAGATTGCGGGTAAGTTTTCGATAATGCTGAGAAGTCGATTTCTCTTCAGTGGGGAGAGCGATGGGAGAAGGCGAGTTGGTCACGCGTGAGGCGCACGTGGAGAGCTACTGCGTTTGATCTCCGTAAGGCAATGAGCTTGCCTTTTTGGTCGGGCGGCCTTTCGGATCGAGGTGCCGAATCTTGCGGCAATACGGTCCGCCGCTGGCCATTCTTTGTGAACATCATATTTATATGACTCGACCTGTTCCAGTGACAAGTAGATAAAAGATCATCTACCTTTTTCTATGCCACCTCGTATCCTCATTTGCGGTGGGCTACTTCACGAAACGCCACTACTGGTGGCCAGATCCTGATCGACGTGTTCAGGCGAGATTGTCTGGGCTCACGACGATGTGAAGGAACTCCTTGAACCGATAGCTGAAGTCATCGTCAGCCACGAGTAACTTGCATCGCAGCTCTCTTTCTGATCAACTGCTAGTATTACAATTCTAAGGACCGCGTCGAGTTTCTCGATGGATTCAAGCAGGGAGGGCCTTACGACGGAGTAGTGGGCATATTCCGAGACAATATGAGTGCTAAGCGAGTAGGCTTCTTCGATAAGGTGAACATCAAGACAAGATGTCCGGCATGCCCTACTTCCGCTCATTACTGCCTAGGAACTTATTGACGGATTTCCCCCATCCCTGAAGTGGATCGCTCATAATGGTGCCGGGTACGATCAAATCGACGCTCACGCTTGCAAAGCGAAGGGGATCATGTTGTCGAATACCCCCGGCGCTGTTGACGATTCGAGCGCAACGACTGCTCTGTTTCTCTTGATATCCACTGTCCGCCAGTTCTCTGTCGCAGAACGTTCACTGCGAGACGGCAAATGGAAATCGTCGGATCTGGCTGCCAAAAGCCACGATCTCACTGGCCGTACCCTCGCGATTTTGGGACTGGGTGGTATCGGTCTACGATTGGCAGAACTCGCGCACGCGTTCCCTATGCGCATCATCTATCATTCGCGCCATCGCGTTGCTCACGCGCCCGAATGGTGCGAGTACATGGCTGACGTGGATGATCTGCTCAAACAGGCCGATGTCCTGAGTGTACATGTTCCTCTACGGGATGAGACGGTGGGCCTCGTTGGAGAGAAATGGATCCGCACGTTGAAAAGAGGTGCTATCATCATCAATACAGCTCGAGGCAAGGTCATTGACGAGGAGGCGATGATCAGAGCGCTGGAGGATGGTCATGTACGTGTCAAACTTGCTAACAATCGGATTGTGGATTGAAAGAATTCCCAGCTTGCTGCAGTGGGGTTAGATGTGTTCCCCAACGAACCGGAGGTCAACCCGAGACTCCTCGAGTTCCCCAACCTCACTCTCCTCCCGCACATGGGTACAGAGACTCAAGACTCTCAACGCAAGATGGAAGTCCGCGCTCTAACGAACTTGAAGGACTTCCTTACTGCTGGTGCAGGAAAAGATCTTGTGCCCGAGATGAAATAATCAATCACCATATCCTGGTGGGGTGGTCGTCATTCCTCGCGGATGGAGTACATAAATGATAAGTTACACATATGTCCTCGTCAGTGCTTGTGTGAAGCAGCGAGTCCGATCGCTCCAGTCGCAGCGGCGTCATCCACGTATTCAACGTGTTTGAAGATGTGTCCTTTCTCCTTCAGAGCATCGAGAATGAGCGTTCGATAGGCCTCGATCCCGGCAAGAGATCCTCCAAAGCACACGACAGCCTCATTCGCACGGACCAGCTTGGGTCTGGAAGCGGTCTTCTCGCCCAGAAGCACAGCTATTTGAGACGCGATGGTCTCCGAAGTCGTGCGCAGCACTTGGAGAGCCAGAGGGTCCGAGTCCTCAAAGGCCGATTGGAAGACTATGGGCGCAAGAGACGACAGCCGTTTTTCGCGCACCATAGAGAAATGAGGCAAAGAGCTTGGTGCGAATAGAGACGCAGCCGGGTCTGGCATGTGTACTGGCACCAGGACATCGAGAACTTCAGAAAGGCCGAAGCGTTCCAGAATACGTTCAGCCATAATGCTTTTCGGCGGAGGTGCGTCTGTGACAGAGGCACAATCTGTCGCAGCAACCATCTGCCGAACCGCCTCCCGTCCGACATGGAATCCTCCACCTTCGTCGCCCAAAATCCAGCCCCAGCCGCCTATCCGCCCCAGCTGATCGAATCCGGACTCTGTCTCTATGAAAGAGACAGCGATGGATCCAGTTCCGCAAATGACCCCTACGGCATGATGTACATCGGCATACAGCCGGACAGGAGCAGCAAGAAGGTGGGTATCATTGGCAACAGATAGGCGGGGACCAGCTGGTAAGCCAAGCAAGTCGGAGAGTATGGGGGTGATTTCTGCCATGGCTGTTGGAGAATCTAGGCCCGAAACACCGAACCAAGCAGCCGCGAATGGCGTCTTGCCTACTGGAGGCAAGGGAACGGGGTCGACAGACGGAGGAGACACACAAGACTTGAGAGCATCGCTGACAGTCAGGCGGACTGCAGTGATGTAGTCCTCAGCGCTGAGGTATGCAAAATTGGATGGGCCACCAAGCGCTCGACCGACGATTGTGCCTGCAGCGTTGCTAATCACAGCGGACGTCTTCGAGCCTCCACAATCGACGCAAAGATAGAGGGACATGATAGTAGAGTCAGAGATGGAATCTTTATCGATGGGAGAATCATGAGCCCATACATGAATCGGGTCAGTAAGTAGTCCGTGACCGCGTACGGGTTATCTTTGATCTGCCATCATGTGTGATAAACAATGCCAAACATAGAAGCACTATATAATACCCCTCCAGTCGTTTAAATTTTTTTTCGTGCGGCGGCACGGCCATCCATTTTCCCCATTGTTGCTCATGCCTGCCAATTTCCACGCGGGCGTTCGAGTGTCAGGCCGTGTCCTGAACAACAGGACATCTTAGTACCCATTTCGTCGTCTGTATTCCCTGGATCGACGAGGGTCGGTAGTTCGAATATTTCTTGCATTGTCCATAGAATCAAATCTCCATCTTTCTATGCGCTAACTCCGATGTCATATCCTCCACCCGTGCAACTTCACGAGTGTTCTAGGAAAGCATTCTCATGAAAAAAATTCGTAGCTGATTACAACTGGAGCTGATCTTGAGTAGAAGTACTGTGTAAATGAAGTGATCCAACAGCCCCAAGCCCTTCAACGTATGCCCCAGTCTTCGACATCTACTCGCTGTCCGCGATCAAAGCCACAATCATGCTGCACAAAGTCAAGGCTGGGGAAAAGGAATCCTGCAGGGGACTCACCGATAGAGATAGTAGAAAAATGAGAGGAGATAGAATCCGAGCTTGATGAAGCTCTCCTTCTTGTGACCAGTAATGGTTCTGAAGATCTCCGTCGCGTCGTACATGTGATTCTTGTTTCGTATCCTAATCGCAAGGATTTAGCGGAGCAAATGCGAGAAACGTGGCTAAAGCGCACTTGTTGGCATTGAAGGCGACGAGGGGAACGTTCAGGAGGAACGCAGTCCATTGACCGGAAAGCAAGAAAAGTGTCGCGAGGAAGGCATGGGCGATATTTTCAGGCAGAACGAACTATGAGAGTGCAATGAGGCATGGAGCAGGCCAGCGGAGAGTGAACGCACCTGGTTCAGTTTATTGCATAGGTCAATGGGGTTGATGTAGTCGCATTCGAGGTCCGAGAACATGATGATCTTTGACGACGGGTCAGTGAAATGAAAACTCAGCGTCGTTGCAACGCACGAAGAAAACCATGCAGAACAACAGCCCCGCAGCCATCAACACCGCAAACAAAAACAGCCAGCCTATTCATCCAGATGCACGGGTAGAGGAGAGTTCATTCGACGGTAGAGGTGGAAGAATAAGAGGCACACGGTCAGAGAGAGCAGGATGGGAACGTGGAGAAAGGCACCCACCAGCTCCACCCATTTTATTCGTGAATCGTCCGCAAAAAGAGTATCGATATGGGAAATGCTTAGCTAAAATACCCTCTGTTGCGTCTGCGCGTCAGAAGGATAGTCTCGCGACCTTGAGTGGGAGGAGGGGGAGGAAAACCGAGTGACGTTGGTCAATCAGCGTGACCCGCCGCCGTGACGTATGCACAGACACGAGCTGAGAGCATTCTCGCTTAGTACCCGCTTTTATGCCAGGGAGGACATGTGCCGTGTTTCAAGATGAGCTGGGATTCACCACTTGACCATAGCGACTGTCAGGTTTCCTGAGTAATGTTATACTCACCAGTTCACACTGGCAAACTGAGTCCGTCTGATAAGATTAGATATCCGACGACGCAAAGATGTAACAACAAGACCAGAACTTTTCTTATTTAACGTCAATGCCGAAGGAGCTTAGAAAACGCGGCAAAAAGAAGAAAGGAACTCAAGGTCCTCCGGAATACGAACGTATCGAAAACCCGCAAAATCACGAGCCGGAAATAGCATTCGAAGGAGACGCTGAACACGGAACTACACGGCCTAATCCGTCATGGATTATCTCTGGGTCTAGCAAACAGGACCGGGTGGACAAGGACGATCGCGCTGCAGAAATTGAAGCACCCTTCGGATACGTCGATGCAGACGTCAAAGCTTACTTTCGTACTGTGGACGTCCAAATGCGAGACTGGCAGGTTGCGACGGGAGACGGAGAAAATGTAGATGCGAACGAAGGCGTGCATTCATGGTGCACACAATTTCTCTTCCTCTGACTGTGCTTTAGATAAACGAATGTTCTTCGTTGCTGCGTTGACGGAGATGGCGGGCAAGGAAAAGCAACTGGCCACCGACCCTGATTGTTCTATTGTGCTGGAACGGATGGCTTACTCTATGGACGATTTCGTGCGACGTGTTTTCATCGACAGTCTCATCGGCTCGTGAGTGCACTACAAGCAGGCAGCTCTGCTTTGTGCTCACTTTCGAAGTTATGCTGTCTTGGTGAAACATCGGTTCGCGTCGCATGTGTGCCAAACCCTGTTCACTGTTGCCAACCAAACGATCGCAAGAGAGGTGAGGAAAGGGATTTTCTCGTTTCATAAAGTTTACTTTCGCTCATAGTGTACAGATGCGCGGTATCTATCCCACGATACCGGAGGGAGACGACAAAGGTGAACTCAGAAGAATGACTGAGCTGATCGTCGATGTATGCGAGGTAAGTGATGGAAGGAATCTGGCGTTTGCTCTTTGATCAAGCCCACGAAGGAAATTACACCTGTGTTCACCTCTCTGCTTGCGGATGCATTCGGATCGCATGTCATCCGTGCACTGCTCGTGCTTCTATCACCTGCGCTTGCATCCTTACAAGACAACTCTCACACGGCCGTGCGGTCCAAGAAGAGCGCAGCATGGAAAGCGAGGCAAGGCCCTCTGAAGTCGATGTTCAACGAGAGCCGATCGTCTGCCCCGATCTTGTACACCCCACCCGAATCGTTCGCTCCGATCTCACGCCACTTCATTGAGGCTGTGCGTGTCGAGCTGGGAGGAAACGAAGTCCGGGCTCTGGCAGCAGATAAAGTCGCTAGCCCCACTCTGCAGGTGTGTGCAACAGATTGAGGCCCATACCCACGTAATTCCTGAACACCATCTTTAGATGCTTCTTGTGGTCGAAGCAGATCAGCAGATGTCCGATGAGGAGGACTCATTAATGGATCGTGCTCTTGCTGGTCTTATCTCCCATTCAAGTGAGTAAATGTCTGCTACGAGCTGGACCCATGTTAATCAATGAGGTAGAATCCGACTCCAGGGATGCACCGCCGGTGTCAGACTATCTCCACACACTGCTCCGTGACCCGACCGCGTCTCATTTTCTCGAAACAGTGGTGGCGAAATGTCCAGCACCAGCCTTTGCAACTCTCTGGACCCTCTATTTCAAAGACAGTCTGGCTCGGCTCGCTATCCATCCTGTTGCCAATTACGTGCTTGCCAAGACCTTTGAGCGATTGGACGCAGCCCAACTTGCGGATGTGTTCTTGGAGCTCAAAGACGTTTGGGGGAAACTAACGCGTGAGTTTGACATTCACGTACAAACAACTTCGTCTGAGCTTTCTCCGCAGAGGTATCTCGAACAGGTGTGCTAAGAGCTGCAATCGATCGTTCGATCGAGTTGAACGCCTGTGGTCCCGATGTACAGGAGGCGAGTTATTGTTATTGGTCATCGCACATCCATCTCTAAACGGCCATCTAGGCTGTCTTTGAAGCTTTTGAGATTAACCCCGACGATGTAGAACAAAAAAATGCGGTCGTACCCTGTATCTTGCGACTGAAGTCCTTTTCGGTGGGCGCGACATCAAAATGACTGTTGCAGTCTGACCTCTGTTCGTAGGACTATGCTCGTCAGATCGAATACAACAGCGAAGAAAAGGGAAAACAGAAGGCAAACTCGGGTGGTGAAATGACTGTTCAGGGGGCCGTGCTTCTGCAGTCGCTTTTGCGCATGGCAGACCCATACAATGGCATAGTGATCTCCAGGTGCGTCTGCTTTAGGCAAGATTGTGCTCTATGTAGACCGTTCTAGTTTGCAGTCGCTTTCCACTGTGGCATTGGTCTCTCTTGCCCATCATCCCGCTGCCTCACGAGTTTTGGACGCGCTACTCGAATCGAAAACTGTTCCCGTGAAATCAAAACGGCAGTTTCTGCTCTCCTTGATCGGAAGCTATCACCTCCTCGTCGACGATCGGATTGGCAGTCGGGTCGGAGATCGGTGTTGGGCCAATGCCGATACTTATCTCAAGGTGCCTTTCAATAGCGAACGAAACGCCCGCATTTGTTCATCTTCTTCAGGAAAAAATAGCCCGGTCAATGATCCCAGAGGAAAGATTCCTCGCCGCATCGCATTTTGGGAAATTTTTCGCCCGCAATCTTAATTTGTATCTCCTCCAGCGCCGGCCGGACGATTGGCGCAACATGCAGAGCGGGCAACAGCCGAAAGCAACCGCCGTCCAGACCAATCCTCCTATGATAACTCCAACGATACAACCCAACCCACCTCCTGTCAAGAAGCGAAAACGAGACAAAGCTGGGGACGAGATCGACCAGCTTTTCGAGGGCATGGGGAAGAAAATCAAGCGAGGTGCACTGGCTGTATCTGACCATAGTGCCCACAAAACGGAGATGGATGCGTCATCTGCTGTGGACGATGTGCTACCCCAAAATGCTGATTCAGCAAATCGTCCTCGAGGCAAACGGAAAGGCAATGTGTAGCTTGTGTATCCATATTTGCAATTCAGTGTCTCGAATGAAAGCGCTGACTGGATCAAGAGTCTGCTTCATTGTGTCCGCGATCCCAAAATTTCGTGCTCCTCGTTGTTGCTCTTTTGAACGGCGTCTCCGCGTCAGCTTGCGGGGTTCTGCTGGAGATGATGTAATTGATATGGACGGGCTCTCGATTTGAGCGATTTACGAGCGTCACTCCCCTTCGTAAAACTACTTTATGTGCCTGCGATATTTTCACTCGCTTGCCGATCTTGTAGGTGGTTCGTTTAGCCTGATTTCCTTGTGTTCTATTGATGCTGGCATCGGATACTTTCACGACAATGGGCTGTTTGCTGACAAACGCCTGCCCCGATATGGAAACCGATCCTTTCTCAAAACGATAATGGACGTTGATCTTGCATACAAGATCGATGCCATCCAAGAGCTCACAGGCCACCAAGATCGTGCATGGAACGTCGCATGGAACCCTACGAAACCACTCATCTCCTCCTGTTCTGCCGACAAGACAGTCCGCATGTACACCTACAGTTCCAAGAATGACACAGGACCAACCTTCGCGCACATTGCGACGATACCCACCGGCCATACGAAGACTGTACGATCGCTGGCCTGGGCTCCCTCAGGAAAGACGCTGGCTACTGCGTCCTTCGATGCAAATATAGGGATCTGGGAGCAAGAGGACGACGAGGAGGATGAGGGTGAGGGGAGGGTTCGAAGCGGAGACTGGGAGTGCATGAGCCTATTGGAGGGCCATGAGACGGAATGCAAAAGTGTTGCATACTCGAGCACGGGCACGCTCCTCGCTAGCTGCAGCCGCGACAAAACCGTGTGGATCTGGGAAGGCGCGTAGCAGCAATATCTGCCGTTGGCGACAGACAGTTGCTCAAGTGGCTTCAAGTGCAGTCCATCCCGACTCAGACTTTGAATGCATGGGTGTACTGATGGAGCACACTCAAGATGTGAAGTGTGTGGCCTGGCATCCCACGGAAGAGGTGTGCCTTTTTACTCTAGTCTGCACCCTCCCCACCAACCGGCGATCTCCGCACAGATTCTTGCGTCTGGTTCATACGACGATACAATCAAATTGTACATTGACGACCCTTCGGACGACTGGTTCTGTTTTGAAACTTTGTCCGGGCATCAGTCTACGGTGTGGTCGTTAGCCTGGGCTCCGAAAGGCAGCTATCTGGCATCGGCTTCGGACGATCGGACAGTTCGGATATGGAAACGACTTGCAGAGCATCACTGGGAATGCGTACTTGTTTTGGAAGGCAATTACCGCAGCGTCTACTCAGTGAGCTGGGGTGTCGGGCAGTCCTCTTCCAGTGAAAGTCTAGGCTGGCTTGCGGCAGTAGGTGGTGATGGGGTCATCCGCGTTTGGGAGCTTGCTGTGAGGTTCATGTATCTTGTCTATTCAGTTGACTGATCCTCTTGATAGGAAACGCAGGACTCGAAATTGTCGCACAAGCTGATTGCACGGTTTGCCGATGCTCATGGCGTGCATGATTTGAATTCCGTAGCTTGGTGTCCTCGACAAGGGTTCGAGAACCTTTTAGCAACGACAGGCGACGAAGGAGCCGCAAAAATATGGAGCGTTAATCTAATAGTATAAGCTAACATTGCTAGACCTACTGAGGCTCCCAATGCATCTTCATGCCAGCAGTTTCTTTGGGTCTGACCGCGCGGAAAGACCACCCATGAGGCCTTCGAAGCGGAATGGCGATCTTCATGAGTATAAACTCGACGTGAATTTGTTCATGCCGTCAAGATCTCTCCTTTACCGCCAGCGCCGTGCCATCGAGTTGCAATAGTTTTGCATGCTTCCTCGTAAGACTCGACAGGCGCACCTTCAATGACAGCTTTCTCCAAATCCA